AAATTATTAAACAGCAATAATGCTTTGAAAGGAGATTTGTCTTTAATAAACAATTATTGTCATGATGAAAGTTATCCTAAGGCAACCCATAATCAGATTTTAAATGGAAAAAAAAGAAACTTTCTAAAAGTTTCCTTAAGTCCTTGAAATTGAAATATTTTGAAATTAAGTTTCAGAATGCTTCGACTATTCAAGTTTGTAAAATGAAAAGCAATTTTGAAAACTTTACAATAACTTTAAATTACCGTGTCAGTTGCTTCTGGGAAATGCCGGTTCTCCAAATTAAAATTGATTAAAAAAAAATTTTCTATACAAACGTTTACTGTTTTCGTCGTTGTTGCTATAATTTATTCAAACGTTTTTTGAATTGGTTTGCAACATTCAATATAGGTAGGGAAGACTGGCGTTAATTTCAACAGGGAAAAATTTTATGATCACCACGGTGAGCAGGCGTAATTTTAACAGAAACAAAAAAAAGTTAAAAAATGGCTATAACTTTATCAGAAATACAAGAAATGTTTATCCTACACAAGAAAGAAATACAATTATTATTTAAAGAACAAGAAGAAGTATTCGTTGATTTACATAGTGAAATCTTAAAAATACTCAATCACGCTTGGATAATATTGAAAAAAAATTTTCGGATTACGATAAAAAAATTCACTTATTGGAAAATGATATAAAAGACTTAAAAGAAAGTTTAAAATTTCATTTTAAACTTTCTTTTAAGTTTAACATTTAGTAGACCAAAAGATAAAAGTTGCGAAAGAAATTAAAAACCCAAATATTATTAACATTTTAAACGAAAAATGCAGTCTCCGAAGACAGGTCGAGGAAAAATAACTTAAGGATAGTTAAAATTACTGAAAATGCAAATGAAAGCTGGGATGAAACTGAAGAAAAGGTTCAAAATTTATTATGCAATAAATTAGGAGTTAAGGTGGTACAACACCAAATATTTTCTCAAAATCTTTAAAAAAATGAAATTTTTGATATTTAGCTCATTTGATAGGCAATTTATTGTAGATTAATAATATATAAAGTTAGTTGGAAAATTTTTTTTTGATTTTGAGAAAAAGTAACTTTTTAATAAAAAGTTCCATAGCAACGGCCTTAGCAACGCAAAACATCCCTAAACACAACTGGATAATTTCTAGTTTGTTCAGTAGTTAATAAGTCATAAGCTTAAATAAGTTTTTATAGTGGTTTTGAATTATTACTTTTTCAAAATAAATTAAAAACAAAATTAATGTTGCTTAATTTGTTGAATAGTTAATAGTCTGACTGATTAATAAAACATTTGTTCTGAATAAAAGACTTGGGTTCTGTTAACTTATTAGCCTTAAAATGATCAGATCCAATGCTAGAAGGAAAAAAATACATTACCAAGGCATTAATCGTTACGACAAAGCACAAAAAATTCAATGCCAGAGCACAGTTATACCACAAGAGCCAAATTCCTTTACAACAATAGCCAGTGCAAAAAAAATTACTGCAAGGAAAAATCAAGAACTTGTTTATAATGATTTCAACTTTATAATGAACTTTGAGTTACTTTGTTTAATGATTCTCGAAGTTATGAAATGTCCAAGTTGCTTTTCTTCAATTTTCATGCAAAGTTGTCCTAATAAAAGAATGGGACTTTGTTTGACCTTGGAACTTTGCTGTACTTCCTGTGATTGGTGTTATTCATTTCAAACTTCCAGACCTATTTCAAATCTTTTTAATAATTCTGTAGGAAAAGATAGCTATGAAATAAATGTTCTTTCTGTATTAGCATTTAGAGAAATAGGTGAAGGTTATGAACCAATGAAACTATACCACCAACTAATGAACATTCCTTCAATTACCTACAGTGCATATGATAAAGTTAACAAAAAATTATACAATGCTTATAAAACTGTTGCTCAACAGGTTACTAACAAAGCTGCATTAGAAACTAGAAATTTGATTAATAATAATGCTTCACATGATGATACAATTCAATGTCAGGTTTCAGTTGACAGAACGTGGCAAAAAAGAGGTCACTCATCATTTAATGGTGTTGTCACAGCCATATCTACTTTAACAGGGAAACGTATAGATGCTGTTGTGTTGTCAAAACATTGTATTCTTTGGAAAAGCAAAAAATGATGTATTCTTTGGAAAAGCAAAAAAGGAACTCCAGAGTATGAGGATTGGAAAGCTAACCATAAATGTCTTGCTAATCATCAAAGATCATCTGGTGCTATGGAAGGTGCAGGTGCAATTACTATTTTCCATCGGTCTGTCGAAAAATATAAGTTACAATATACTAGTTATTTGGGTGATGGTGATACCTCATCGTATTCTGCAGTATTAGCTTCATGTCCATACAAAGATATAGAGATAAAAAAAGTAGAATGTATTGGGCACATCCAAAAAAAGATAGGCAGTCGTGGTCGCAACGTCTACGTGGAAACAAAATTGTGTGATGGAAAAGCAGTAGCAGGAAAGGGGAGGTTAACCGATGAAGCACTTAACCTTTTACAAAATTATTTTGGATTTGCTATTAGACAAAATTTAGGTAATATATATCAAATGAAAAAGGCTGTATGGGCAGTACTTTTTCACAACTCTGATATTAAAGACATGACTATACGTCATCAATTTTGCCCACGAACTATTGCCAGCTGGTGTAAATGGCAACGTGACCATATCAGCGGACATAAAAACTCAAACATATAAACCCCAAGCTAAGCTTGCCATTAGCAATAAAAAGTATTCTTGTCCCTGTATTCAAAGACTTAAGCAATGAAGAACTGGAAACGATGCCCCAAACATATTTTTGTAAATAGAAGTATTATTGAAATGTCAGTAAATTCTGCAATTATTAATTTTAATGAAGGTACCCATGGAATTATTAATGTTTTAAAAAATTTGGGAATACGTATTTTACTCATATCAGATTGATTAACCGTGATAAATGCGGAATTAAAAAATGTACAATCAAGTCTTCACTTTCTGCAAAATCCCAAGGACAGAAGTTGCGCCACCAAAAAAAAGGGTTTAATGATAGGGAAGCTCAGTTAGAACCATGCCAAGCTTATTCTTCTGGATTTTATTAGTTTTTCATACTTTAAAGTTTACTTTTTTTTGTTATCAAATCTTCTTTTGCGTTTTTCTTTGTTTTTGATTTTTAATAAACATGGTGTTATTGAAAACATGATATCTTGTGAAGTAGTAAAGCAAATCACTTCAAATTTTCAGGAAATGTTTATTATATTACTTTGTAGGGAATGACATTTCAAAATTCTAAAATTATTCTCTTATCTCTATATTTATTAGTTTTAAGGCCTGAAAAAAAATTTTTTTTTTAATGTTCTATAGAAGAACTGCGATAGTAGTTGATGTAGCCAAATAATCTTAAAATCTTTATGTCAATACCTTAGTTTAGATGTCCAGAACAAGAGCAAAAAATTTCATAGGTTATGCATTAATATATTTCAAGATAATGTGTTTTGAATAGACCCATCAAAAAGACGGTTTTTGATATAAGCGAGGCAAATAAGGCGAGACAAAACAAAGTGAAGTATAAAAGAAGCATTCTCAATTTATATATTTTGCATTAATATCAAATTGATTTTTTTTTCAAGTTTTAAAGAATTTAGAATATTTGGTGGTGTACCACCTTAAGTAGTTGAAATTGAAAGGGCGCATCGAGTAGGTTTTAAAAAAGAAGCCTAATCTCGAACCATTGTATTAAAATTATTGAGATTCAAAGATAAATCAAACAGCCTAAAAGAAACAAAAAAAAACTAATAGGACTAAACATCTACGTAAATGAAGATTTCTCACAAGAGACGGCAAACCTTCGTAAGACGTTATTTACAGAAGCGAAAGAAAATCAAAAGGAGAAAACGTTATTGTCTGCTGTGACAAACTTATTATTTTAAAAACTGTTTACAATAAAATGAAATGATACTGCTGGAAAACAATTTTAATCTTAATTTTGCATATTTTAGAATAAAAATGCTTAACAAATTAAATGCAACTAATTTTTTTGAAATTTTTAATAAACAAAACACACTTCTTTTGAATTATGACATTAATCCAGATCGTGACGTTAGAATAATAGGGTTCTATCTCCCTTTTTTACTGTTAAGAGAATTTAACAAAATTTGTTATACTCTCTTCAATTTTTAAAAGTAAAAGTAAATTAAATTAAAAGACCAAAATATCAAACTTGTTGAATTTATTATTTATTAAGTATTATAAATTGGTATGATCAAAATAACATATCGGTAAATGAGGATAATAAGGTTTTATCTCTAAATTTTCATGGCAAAAAAATTTAATTTTCTGTTTTTAATTATAATATTATTTTTGTGTTCAAAATGGCATAATTTTAATATTAATCTCTTTATTATTATTTATATAACTCTAAAAATTGTTAGTTTTTGTTTTTTCATTGTCAATTTTAACCTTTTTTTATATATATATATATTTTTTAATTAAATTTATATTTTATAAAGTTGAAATTAACAATTAATTTGAGGTCAAGCAATTTTAAAAATTATGAAATTAATAACGTAAGATTAATTATAAAACATAAATAACATACAAAACATTTATTTTATTAATATAAACAACAATAACTGTAAAATATTTTATTAATTAAAAATTGAAAGTTAAATTCTTACAACGTTAAAAAATGGAGATTGAACTCTATTATTCTCACGTCACGACATATTATCTATTTAATTTGTTTTATTGATGATTTGTAAAAGTAATATTTATATTAATTTCTATAATAAATATAACCCCCCACCCCGAAAAAAAATAAAAAAAAATAAAAACGAAACATTGATTGATTACAAGTTCATAAATTATTTAAAAGATTTTTAATATATATATAGATTACAATAATGAATATCAAGTTTACAAATAAAATAGTTCTTGGGAAAAAAATTAAATAAAATACTCATTGAAAGTACAATTTTTTTTAACACTCAAAATTTCAAATCTCGCCCTTTTTCATTATTACCTTAGTAAAGTAAGGGTTTTAAAACTGATGAAGAATCTCAAAATTTTTAACTCATAAAAAATTTGTTAAGTTAAACACTTTAACTAAAATTATACTTATAAAAATATGGAGGACAGTAAAATTTTGAAAAATTTTAAAATCTCTAAAAAGTTTTAAATTTCATGATTGGATCAAAAGCGATATAAAAAAAACAAAGTGAAAAGAATATTTTAAAACCCGAAAGAGCTTTCTTGATATTATTCTTATAAAAGAACAAAACGCAATTAACATGCTATTTTTATAATTCCAAGGAGTCTTTTAAATTTTCAAATTTAATAGGCAATTTTACGCAATGTTATCGAATTATTCACCGACATTCTCGTATCAGTTTTTAATTCTTTCCTTAAGAAACTTTTAAATATATATTACGAGGGTGAATTGAAGTACTGGCGCTTTGAGTCTTTACTCGATTTTACTCTATAATACAGAAAAATTATTATCATAAAATATTCTAAAAAGCTAATAATATAAAAAAATAAAAATTCAACAACAAAAAGTAATTATAAAGCTTAAAACTAAAACAATATTTATAATTAAAAATCAATTATTTTTTTTAACTACACTTGAAAACAAAACAAAAAACATCAATTACTTTGGAGTCATAGCGGAAAATTTCCGGGGATCATTATTTTCTTTGTTGTAAGGTCCTAAACGACTCTCTGAAAAAACTTCAGGTTTCCGCTCAGGTGTAGTAGGTGTGGCAGTAAAATACCCGGGATTATAAGGAGGAGTTTTTGAAGCAGGGTTGCTGCCAATAAACTGATTCCAGTAGTCTGAAGGCATCTCTAACAATCGACAAACAACCTATACGTAAAACAAAATCTAAGCATAAAAGAAACCAATACAATCTAAATGTAAACACAAAAAGAAACCAATACAATCTAAATGTAAATGTATTTATCAAATAATTATTAAAATCGATATATTTAAAAATTTTTTATAAAAATAAATGCCTCTGGTTGTGATTTAATATCTTCTAACATTTCCATATGAGTTGGGTTTTGTGATCGATGACCAACTATGGTAGGACCAAAAACTTTCGCAAGATTTGAAATACACATTTGTGTCTGAGGAGATTGCGCAACATGCTGAAGATGAACTATGACTAAAGCTAACGTGTCGCGATTTGCTTGTGGAAGTTCACTTACACATTGGTACATAGCACTTAAACTATCATCCTCGTCACTCAAAGCTTTTTTTTAAAAAAAAAAAACACGTAGTAAAAAAATTCTTTAAATACATTTTTATATATTCATTTATAATATATATATATATATATATATATATATATATATATATATATTATATATATATATATATATATATATATATATATATATATATATATATATATATATATATATATATATATATATATATATATATATATATATATATATATATATATATATATATATATATACACACACACACACACACACAATGGTGCCATCAAACTTACCAGCGGCGCAAATAAAAGACTCGTGCAATCCAAAAGTTACTAAGGGTTCACTCAAACCTCTTAAAAAATCTTTTAGACATCCACATATAACGTGAACATCGTGATACTTGCTCTACAGAAAAAAATTTAAAAAAAACATTAGAAATAACAGAGCAAAAAAACAAGGCAGAATATATGATTTTGATTCAGTACTTGACATGTTTTCTTATTTAACAAAATCTTGTTTTATAAGCAATCAGCTATTAGGTTATTTAGATTTATTGTAAACTTGCAAAACAGTATAATAATTTCATTAAAAGTTATAAAAACTTAGATATATTATTTATAGAATAGGTTATAAGAAAGAAAAACCCTTAAATATAAGACTTAAACCAATAGATTTGTATAAAAATAAAACTGTTTTGTTACAGCATAATTTTTTTTTATCAAAGTACAAAAAGTGCCATTTTCTATAAACTATAAATTTAAATACCACAAATTTCTATAAAACAATGTTTACCAAGTCAGGAGTTTTTCCTCGAAGAAACTTCTCTTTTAGTTCTCTAACATCTTTCTCTGCACTAAAAATACCAACTACTATAAATATTATTTATTAACAAGTTTAAATGAACAAATGTATAAACACACAAGTTTAAATGAACAAATGTATAAACACACAAGTTTAAATGAACAAATGTATAAACACACAAGTTTAAATGAACTAATGTATAAACACACAAAAACGCATTCTGCATCTGCATTTAATCGATGACATTGATAAAAAGAGAAACAATATACAAAAAAAAATTCACCCTGGAATTCTGTATAGACCTGTTTCCTTTAATCCACGCTTCTCTATTTCTTCAATACAATTTTGCTATAAATAAAACCTGTTTGCTATAATTAAAAACTACATAAACACGAAAGATAAAATATTTGATAAGTATTAGTCTAAAAAATCACTTTAGTTGGTTTTGAAATATATCCTGGTCATATGTATAAAATTTGGCTATTTTACCAAATTCAAGGGTATAAAGACCTTCAAAAGTGTTGGTGTAAAAACTAATAAAAACTAACATTTATGGATTTTTAAAATGGCTTTTCACATGAATTATACAATTCCACCTCTAACTACCTTAAGTGTTTTTTTGAACACCCTAATACATTCGATTAACATGTAAAACTTTACCAATTTTACAACGATTAAATTTACGTTTTTTAGATATAAATAGGAATATAGAAATAAACAATGCAGAAAAGCGAGCTGTAAAAAAAGAAAACTGAAAGATGTTTGGAAAAAAAAGTTAATAACGAAGTAGAGAATCCAAGGAGACCATCGTATCTTTTTAATGGTGAGATTTTTTCAATTGGTGAGATTTTAAAAAGATAATGCCATATTATTTACTCAAAGCAGTTAAAATATAAACCAACAAAACTCAATGTTAGTTGCTCCACGCGGAAAGAAGGATATCAGCTCACTGGTGCAAAAGGTGAAAAGGTATTAATATAGAAGTAAACATCTAGCACAGAGCGGATTTTTAAAAAAACTTCTTGATGAAAAGTTGGACCATTAGATATAAGATTAAAAGGCTCAACAAAAAATGAATGCAAATAGATCTTAAGAAATTTTTGAGTATTTTAATAATAAATACTTTTTTATTTTACCACTTCAAGATTTTTTAAAGATGTAAATGTCTTAACTATGCATTTTTTTCAATATTAGATTAAACTTCTCTGACACACACAAACTTTTTTTGACATACGCTGCAAAAATATTGTAACAAAAATCAAAGCAGACCCCAACATAACTCCTGATGCCATTAAATAATAGACCAAAAGATAACTAGAAAAATGGCTATAACAGAGGATGTTATATGACTTTGTTTACAAAAAAAATTGAACATAGGCATGATATGGACAAAAAACTTGAAATTAAAATATTTGAAAATCATATTGTCTCTGATACTGAAGTGGAATCAACATCTCAGTCAAATTCATCTAATGATTCATTTTTAGATGAATTCAGCAAAGAAGATAAAAAATGCCCTATACCATTACAGGTTTTAAAGCAATTTTGAAAATCAGTTTCCCCTGAGAATTCACTGATTTTTTCTTGTTTTTAAGCATTTTCCTGATTTTCTCTTACTTTTAAGTATTTTTTACCAGAGCTTAGGTGGTGAAAAGTATATGTTTTTCCTTGATAATGTTAAAGGATAAAATATGTTCGCAACCAGAGCTGTGACCAAGTCATTATTTTTTAAGTCACAAGTCTCTATTAAGTCTTTTCACTCATGTTCCAAGTCAAGCAAAGCCAGTTCAATTCAACATTCAAGTCAAGCAAAGCCAGTTCAATTCAACATTCAAGTCAAGCAAAGCCAGTTCAATTCAACATTTATGTCGTAAGTCCTAACTCCTTATTCAAGAAGTAAAAAACTCATCATCTATTTGTAATTAACTAAATACAATTTATCATACATATAAACGTAATGTATACATTATATTTAAATTAAAATGTTTTTTATGATCATTACATTTGCAAAAGACTAAATGTAAAAAGCTGTCAGAAATTGATGCCCAATAAGGATGCAGTAAAACATTAAAAAATTAAAAATAAAAAAGATAAAAATCAGACTGCGCAATTAACAAAAGAATGTTTTTACATCTTTTCGCCTCTAAACTTTTTGCTTTAATGTCCCACAAATGCCAAAATGAAATATTTTAAGATGTAAACAAACCTAGCTTTATATGTGTCAGATGTTTATTAAATTTCTTTTTCTTAATTTTAGAACTTAAATGAGAGACTTGTGAAGAAAAAAAAACACAAAAAAAGTTAAAAAAAGCAACTTAGATTCAAAACTCTTTTAGCCAACTCAAAAAAAGATTGTTAATATATTTTTCTGAAAAATTTATAACAAAAGAATTTAAGTAGTATATTAACATATAACACAAAAAAATGTTTACAAAATATTGACTTTTTTTATTAACTCCGCTAGCTTTTAGAGCTATTGAATTAAGTTATAGAGCTATTGAATTAATCTATTTATTTTATTTTCCAATTTCTCAAAGACATTAAATTTTCAAAAAACAATAAAAAAGATTTATGCAAAGAAAACTCAAAAAAAAAAAAAAACCTTGAATTTTTAGATTTGTTAATAATAAGCAATGCAAAAGGAAAATCTAATAAAATATCAATAAACAATCATTGTAAGTCTTTATATTTACAAATATAAAAATCAGATGTAGAATAAGGTATTTTAGTCTTCAGTTAATTTTAAAAAAATTACTTACAACAATGGGAGGAACTTTCATTGATTTATTGGTCAAATAATATTCAATTGTACCTTCCTTGAAAATAAAAAAATGATAAATTCACACAATTGACATATCCACACACAGATTTATAAACTGAAAATTTTGTCAAACCAGTAAACAAACAAAAACGAAACTCCATTAAAATTTAGTCTCAAAATGTTTTATTTAAAATACAATTTCAAAAAATACACTTATACAAAAATTGATATTTTAAATTTATTAGCACTGAAAGTTCATTGTAACAAGTTTTTTTGTTTGCCTCTAAAACTAAGGGAACACTACAGTCGATAAGGTATATTTTGAGGGCAATACAGTCAATTGAGAAACAAGTTGAGTGTGTTACTACCCTAAAACAAAAGAGATAAGAACCAAACTTAGAACTTCTCACGTACAAAATTAGCGCTCTATTATAACTGCATGCATAGTCAATATTTATGTTGTAAATTGAAAAACTTATTTGAGTTATTTTTACTAAAGCAAACTTTTAAAATTGAAACTGTCTTATGATAATAATTGAAGTTATAGAACTGAGATAAAAAAGAAAAAGAAAAAAACTTTTTTAATAGAAATTTATAGAAAAAAAAAACTTTATTTATAGAAATTGCTCATGAGGGACTCATGTTAATTAAGAAAAATTGTAAGCTGTAAGATAATTATAAAAAGTATAATGCATCCCTGTAAACAAATACAAAATAAATTATTCAAAAAATATTGATTACAGAAGTGTATTCAAATAATATTTTCAATCATGAAACATATACCTTCTGCTTTTTACTTCCAGGCGTATTGCTACTTGGAAGACAAGGTAAAGGAACATCATCTTTACATTCAAGATGGCAGACAACTTTGCATTCTAAACAAAAATCAATTATATTTTATTAAAATTAATTATTAAAATAAATGACTATATAAATAATTTATATACTTTTAATAATTACATTAATATATTAATTGATTACAAAATAAATGTGTAATTTAATTTCAGGGATGATTCAGTTTATATTATTTTAGAATATTTAAAAAATATCCAGAAAAGATCTGAAATATATTTTTCAGAATCCCCTTATCATCGTACATCTTACAACTACCTTAAAGCTGACTGGAACTCTTTCTGTGATTTTTTTTGTGATAACCCATGGGTAGAAATCTTTCGTCTTCCTGCTAACAAATGTGCTTCTTACATAACTTCTTGGATTTAGGCTGGCATGGAATCTTTTATTCTCTCTCAACAAATCCAAGTCAAACCTCACTCTTCTCCTTGGTTTTCCTCACATTGGGCTGCTGCAATCTCCGATCAAACCAATTACTTTGATATCTATCAGCAAAAACATTCTCCAGAAAACAGATGTCTGTTTACTAGTCCTAGAAACCGTTTTAAATAGGTTTTGTCTAACGTCAAAACCTGCTCTTTTCAGGTCATGAAATCTTGTATATCTTTTAAAAAATTAGGACCCCGTGCCTTCTAGAGAATCTTAAACAGAATCAATAATAAGTCAAACAGGTGGATCTATTGCTTGACATTCATATCACTCCAGCTTCTGTATCTAAAGTGATTTCCTGCTTAGACTCTTCTATAGTTTGTGGCCCAGACAACATACCTGTTATAGTCTTGCAGAAGTGTTCTCCGGAGCTGTCGTCTATTCTATCAAAACTATTCAATAAGTGCTTATCAGAGTCTTGTTTTCCAGCCTGCTGGAAAGCAGCATCTGTTATCCCTATTTTTAAAAACTCTGGAAAGCAATCTGATTCGTCTAACTACCGTCCCATTAATCTTCTTACTATCATAAGCAAAGTTTTTGAATCATTAATTAACAAACACTTAATCTTTCATCTTGAATCTAATAACTTACTTTCTGATCATCAATATGGATTTCGATCTTCTCGTCCTACGGCTGATTTGCTAACAGTAATAACCGATAGGTTTTATTGTGCATTAGGTGGAGAGGTTAAGGCCATTGCTCTTGACATTTCTAAAGCATTAGATAAAGTTTGGCATGCTGGTCTTTTCCATAAGCTTTCTTCTTATGGTTTATCTGGAAACATCTTTAAGATTATTGAATCGTTCCTTTCCAATCAAAGTAAATTCCAATAAAAGTTGTCTTTAATGGACAGCACTCTTCTTCTTATTCTGTAACCTCAGGGGTTCCTCAAGGTTTAATCCTTGGCCCCATACTCTTTTTAATTTACATTAACAATCTTCCATATATTCTCACATTTAAGGTGGGATTGTTCGCTTATGATACTACCACTTATTCTTGAAAAGGATCTCACTTCTGCTACAGCTCACTGTGGCTGGTGAACTTTAATTCAGATAAAACTCAATTCTTTTCAGCCAATTGTTATTGCAATAATTTAGACCTTCCTACATTTATGAAACGTAATGTACTCAATGAACCATCTACCCTTCATCTTCTAGGATTAACTTTACTTCCAATCTTTCTTGGAAACCATATATCAAATCTGTTGCAAAATTAGCATCTACTAAAGTTGAATCTCTTTATCGAGCTCGACACTTTCTTACTCTGGATTCTATTCTGTATCTCTAAAATCTCAAACCCGGCCTTGTATGGAATATTGTTGCCATATCTGGGGTGGATCTTCTAATGATGCCCTTTCTCTTTTAGACAAGGTGCAAAAATGTATTGTAAACATAGTTAGACCTGCTTTTGCATCCAACCTTCAATCATTATCATATCGTCGTAATGTTGCTTCTCTTTCTCTTTTCTACAAATACTATAATGGATACTGCTCTAAAGAGCTAGCTTCAAGTATCTTATCTTTTTTCTGTGACTGTTCTTAAGTGCTCCAAAAACTCTTATTTGTCTAGTTTTTTTCCTCCAACATCAGTTCTGTGGAACTCGCTTCCTTCATCTTGCTTTCCTGATTCATATAATTTGCAATCTTTTATGTCGTCTGTCAACCGTTATTTTGCTCTACAATCTTCATCTTTTTTCTTCCAGTAACTTCCAACACTAATTAGTGGTTGCTTGCAGCCTTGTTGAAAGCGAAGATGTTTAAAAAAAAAAAAATCTTTTTTTTTTTAATGTTTTTAGAATAACAATAGGCAAAGAAACATTGATCAAAAAAGGTTTTCATTTGTTTTTAGTTTCTTCCAGTTGTACAGCTAAAGTTTTGGCACTGTTTTATGAAAGAATTAATTAAATTTTGAAAAAACAAGATAGCAATTTCTATTTGGACCAACAACAGGAAAGGAAATTGAAACTGATCCTGATTTAGAAATAAATCTGTAACAAGAATAGAAACAGAACAAAATGATTTTTTAACTATTAGGCTACCTAAGAAAAGCTTTAGTATTTGCTACTATAGCCAGCAATAGTGGTATACACAAATGAGCTGCTAAGCTAATAGAAGCACGTCTAGATAGAAAATTACTTTATATAGCTGTCACCATCATACTTTAGAACTTGTTGTTGGTGCTGTATGGAAATTGTTGTTTGGTAAAATTTTAAATCCTGAAAAAAACTGTTTGAAAAATTTAATAATGCATGGTCAAAGTTGGATAAAAATCTACCATTTCAAGTACCAGAAACTGAAAGCAAATAGTTGCTGAGCATAAAACATAAATTTGTCAAAAAACTTACAGGCATGTTATCTTTAAATGATTCAAAAACTTATCCAAGAGATGATTATTGTGAACCTGCTGAAAACACTCTGATAATCTTGGGTGGCTATGCATATATGTTGTTGGATGACCAACAAAATATATGCTGGAAAGAAGTATATGTTTTTCAAACAGATAAGATGATGATAAGGTTGCAAACCTCTTAAAAATTAATGGATTTTTAGCTTATTTCTATGTTCCTGCATGGATGAAAGCATCCTGTGGAGCAGATGCACCTATAAACAACCTCCAGTTTATTATCATGTTTGTATATATCCAGTTTAGTATCATGTTTGATTTTAGAGATGTTGACAAAGATTGCTGATGTTGGATTAAGAAGCTCCATTATCATCAATGGTACTTGTCAAATGAAGTCATCCCGTTTGTCTTGTTTAGTAAACATTCTTTAGTGACAAATGCATTAAAGAAAGAAATGGCAGATAAGTTGCTTTTAACTGTAATACCAGAAAACTTCTTGGTAAACCAGTCTTCAAAAAAATCGGTAGTTATCGGTAGCAACTTTAAAAAGTCTGATTGGGCTATACTATGATATACTGTAATAAGATATACTAAATCTCAATCGTTGTTCCATATTTTGAATTAGGAGTGTGCTGGTTGACAGAAAGTCAACCAGCACACTACAATTACATGTGTTACAAGTATATTAGAAAGATAAATAAATTTGTTGTGTCAAAAACATTATCTCTTCGAGGTGTAGATTAAGTAATAAGTTAATTAGCTCAAAAACTTAGCATATCAAAGATGACTAATTCTGCACAAAAGATAATTTCTGTTCACTTTGACTTTTTCATATTTTAGAAAAATATATTATCCACTTTAACAAGATATATCCAGGTACAGACAATCAGTTTAATAAAAACTTGAAATTAGTCTGGAATGATCTTGTAAAAGATACAGTTCTGTTAAATAGGAGTCTAACTCTAACAGGTTGGATAATTAAACAATATCTTAAAGATGAATAGTTCTGCAGAGATATAAAGGATAATAAGATTTTCAAAAAGGATAGATACAACTGTATTGTTTGTAGTTACTTGTTAAAAAAAATTTAAACAATCTATTTATATGATCATAATATTTTAAAATTAAACCTTTTAATTTTAGGATGGTAAATTAAAAAAGATTATCACGGTATAGCTGAAATATCTTTGATAGTAGTTTCTCAAAAAGAGAGGTTCAAATTTAGTATTCCTGGTACATTGCATCATGCAAGATTTAAGGCAAAATGCTGTATTACTTTAAAATGTATTTATTATCGAATCCAATCCAAATTTATTCAAGGAAAATATGGAAGAAACTTGTGTTTAGTTATGTATGCCAACATCTTTTACACTCAATTGTTTCTTAAAATAGTATAAGTAACTGCTGCCCCATCTCAGGTTGAAAAAATGATAATAAGAAACACAGCACAAAAATGATATACTAATTTTTGAATTGATCAATCATCTAATATTGATAAAATCTTGTATTGGATATGAAAGCTTTGTGACAGATAAAGAGATTTATGGATATAAACCTTTTTGGAGCTATTTCAAAAATAATATCATTTCACAGACACACCTATGTCTTCAAAAGACTTTTTTAAGAATCAATAAAGTTCTTTAATATAAAATACCATTAATATATTATTTAAAAAAATTATATTGTATAATAAAACACTCAACTTAAATTTAGTAAAAATATATCAAGTCTAATATATTAGGCGCTCTGGATTCTGATGAATACAGAGAGAACTGATTTACTGGTCTGGCGACCACTAAATTTTTTTTAATTATTTGAAGGCAAAATTGCATTTAAAAGCTATTTAAATGCTACTTTAATAAATTCTATTTATTAAATTTATTGGTTGTTGTTAGTGAGTTTAATACTCATCACACTATATGGCTTGGCTCTGGTGACAGTGACTCTGCAGGTGTTAAAACTCATAACTTTTGCCTTTCTCAATCTTTAATACAATTAGTCAATTTTCCAACTGGCTTTCGAGACAATCACAGCACTTTCCTTCATTTCCTGTAACTTCAGGAAATGAAACAGAAATTCTGACATCTAAGGTGACATTGTTTGCAGATGATACTACAATTATTTTTGTCTTGATAAGAAACCAGCACTCTCTGATTGTTTGGAGGAACTTTTGAGCTTAAAAAGGATCTCATTTCTGCTACAGCATGGGGTTCTCAGTTGTAGGTGAACTTTAATTCAGATAAATTTCAACTTTTTCCAGTTAATCATCGCAACAATCTATATTTTCCTATATTTATAAAGGATAATGTATTTAATGAGTCATCTACCCTTCGTGTTCTAGGATATCTAGTACTTCAAATCTTTCTTGGAAACTATATATCAAATACATTGCTAAATTAGCATCTGCTAAGGTTGCATCTCTTAATCATGCTCACCACTTCTTATTCCCGATTCATCTATGTAAGGAATACTGCTAGCATATCTAGAGCGAATCTTTGAATGATACTCTTGTGGTTTTAAAAACTATACTATTGCAGAGAATAAAATATTATTAAAATTTACAAAAAATGGGTAACAATGATTAAAGGAAAGTTGCTAGTTAAAAAAAAAGATACGAATGAAAAGTTTGATGTTTAAAAAAAAAAAAAAAAAAAAACAGAGGTGTTAACACATGTAATTGGATGTTATTCCTGATTACATTTTGTATTACAGTATTTCAGACAAACAAGTACTTTAAAAAAAAATTTATATACATGAATTAGAAAAAGCTGTACAAAAAGTTAGAGCCAAATAGAAAAATAATTTCTTACCTTTACACTTTGCAACTGAACTTCCAAATCGAACTTTTTTTTTGCACTAATAAATTAAAACTAATATAAAATTAAAAATACTAAAATTCAATAGTAACAAAAAAAGTGTATATTTACCGGTCCACATGCTTCTAATTTTACTGCAATCTTAGTAACAAAAGAATGAGCCTGGAAATAAAATAAAAAAAAGAACAGCAATACACAATTTACTTCTAGCGGTACATGATTAATACTATATATGAAAGCTCTTTTACTTTAAGTATTCATAACACATAAAAACAGGTACTTGCATGTGTGTCTGACAAAAGCAACTAATTATTGGTTATATTATATATATATATATATATATATATATATATATATATATATATATATATATATATATATATATATATATATATATATATATATATATATATATATATATAACCATTATTTAGTTGCTGTTGCTGACTAATATATATATATATATATATATATATATATATATATATATATATATATATATATATATATATATATATATTAGGGACTAATATATAAAAATGATACCCCCACATGACAGTATCTTGCTGTAAAAGGTCCTTAATGTCTGAATTTAAGCCACACCCAAATACTTTTGATGGTGTCGAAAAGGGTTTTACAATAGCCCTTGTGTATATTTATTAGCCTGGGCCAAAAAAACATTGTTTAAATATTTCTAAGGTAACTAAGGCTAAAGAGTAGCTACTAGAGAAAATTGTTACTGTTTTTATTTTAATTATAAGTGGTGGGAAGTGATCGCGTCATCATGCTAATTTATTATTTTTCTTAAAACTTTGGGAAATATATGCCAATTGTGGCACTTTGGTGGAAGGTGTTTAAATAGGTTAAAAAACTTAAAATAGGTTAAAAAACTTAAAATCTATTTTATAATACTTTTTAAAGCTTAGATTAGTATATACTACTTGCGTCCTAAGGTTTTTTGCAGTTTAGAGGTATAACATTTTCATATAAATATATAAATATTTTTAAGTGGAGACTTTAAAAGGGGCATAGACAATTTTTTAGTGTTTGAGCTAACTTCCAGACATCACTACAAATATTTATATGTTTATGTTTATGTCAAATAAGGATACTGTGCAATAAATTGTGAAGATTGGAGACTGGGAACAAAAAAAACCTAAACACCCATCCCCTATCTTTAATGTGAGAGCAACAAGTTTACAAAATATTTATTTTATTTTTATTAACTAAATTTAAATTCATTGAAAAATGCCAAATTTCATGACATAATTTCTTAGTGTTTGGTTTTGACCCACCAAAGTTTAATACCCCTTCCTCAAATTGAGGGTGATCTGAACTTTTTATGGTCATAATTTTTAAACACTAAGAGATTATTGCACAAAATTTGAAATTTTACAATGAATTTAGATTTAGTTAATAAGTAAAAAAAAAGAAGTAAAAAAATATCTTGTAAACTTGTTGCTCTCACATTAAGGGTACCCTTAACATGCAACAACTCCAACCATAGCAATTTTTTTGCAAACTATCTATATATAACATAAACATGAATATATATTAATGTTTGGAGTGTCCATCATATCTGGATGTCTCAAACACTTAAAAACTGTGTCTAAGCCTATGGACTAAGGACTATGCTTAACTAAAAGCGGATAGAAAAAATCCATTCTCTCTTAAGAGAACAGATTTGTTCAATCAAAATTAGTCAGAGAACTTTGTGACAAATTTTAATTTTAAACATCCTTATTGAAATATTTTATTATTAAATATTATAAATGGAAAGTAAAAAATTTTTCTGCAGACTTTTTATATTTAACTAACTTAATAGTTTCAAATAAAAAATAAAAGATTTTGTCTTGTGCGCGCATTTTATTCTGTGTTGCAGGTAGCTGTTAGGATTCACTAATTACTGGTTACTAATACACTAACTTTACTGGTTACTGTCCAGTTTTCACAAATGAAGTAAAATTCAAGGGGTCTGACACTGTTGTTACTGATTGTTCACTTTAAAATTCTTAACAAATTAGTTTATTATATCTTTTTTAAATTTTATTAAAGTTAGTTTTAACATACGATAGAAACTTTTTCTTAACAAATATAAAATGTATTTCATAATAAACTTTTTATAAAACATCTGATAAATATCATAATTAGAAACAGAACTGGTTGATAAAGAAGAAGCACTGAAATTGGAAGTTGATTCAGCTGAAGATGCATTGGCAAATTCTTTATATGCCTTTTTATCTCAGAAAGATGGTTTTCTCCATCAGTTCTTCACCTGGATTAAACCCTGCAGCTTGCTTTCAGATTTTGCTTTCTCAACATTCTGTTGAATGAGTTTGACTGCTCTTTTGATCAATCATTCACAACCTCCATTGATTTAATCAACGTATGAAACTTCAGATAACTATGAAAGTTTTTTCAATACTTAAGGTGAATTTTCAACCTAACACTCTGATCCTGTGTAAGTTCTACAGAGATGAATGTGTGCAATTGAGGTGGATTTCTCCTCAAAATAAACTTCTTCTAAGGGCATCATAGCCTTGATTCTGTTATGCTTAAACTCTTCACTACTCTTTCTATCAATATCCATGAGAACCTTAGCCAAAATTTTGTTAACATAATCACTATCCTCTGAAGTTAAGGCTATCACTACTAAAGCTGGATCAAGATACCAAGTATGATTCTCCGAAGACTTCAAGACTGTCTTATCAGCAGGTTCAGTTTTAACATAATGTCATATTTGCCATTAAATCCTTGATCCTGAAATTTATTTTTAAGTATAAGTTATTTTTAGTATAAACTTTTTTCAAATTAATTCCAAGCAACATTTAATACAACATTAGATTGTTACATATGGAATATTTATTAGTTTTAGAAAACAACTTTTTAAATTTTAAATTTACCATAAAAGTAACAGAAACAGAAAACTCATAGGTGAGAAACAACTAACCGTGTAGGAAACTAAAGAGTTAGTGAATTAGCTGAAAGAGCTTTAGACGGGTGTTTTTCTAAGAAACACATAGTGCTGGATCACATGCTTTCTCAAGGGTAACTGGTTGCTTGCCATCTTCTCAAGAATGCTTCCTACCAAGAAATTTTCTTTTTTTTTTCATGTAGATTTTTTGGGAACTTTAGCTTTCCAAGGCTGCTTCGATGTTGGTGTTAGAGGTAGACGTCTCTCTCTTTTCCTTGTTCTAATTTTTATTTAATTATAGACTTAAAAAATAAAAAGCTATAAACAATAAACTTAATGTTAAATATAATCTTTTAATAATACATTGCATAAATAAAATTGAATTAGAATGACAAAAAATGCAACCTGCATTTGCAACCATCTATAAGATTTAAATATAGAAATATCCTCTATTCACTTCTGTAACGTTTTTTTTTAATAATTTTTATGATTAATAAAAAAAAAAAAACAGCTTTTATTCAATTCATGTGAGAACTCCTTGTGCAAAAATAATTTCCAAAGGAATTGTTTTACAATCATTAATTATTGTCTAAAGATATTTTTACTTATTATTATTGTCTAAAGATATTTTATCTTATTGTCCTAAGGGAATTGCTTCTGTTGCAATTGATAATGATTATCTGAGACGAGTGTTGGAAACAATTGTCTAAAAAGAAAATTATTAGTAACAAACCTTCAAGTTATGGCACCCAGACACACAGAGCGTAGAGGACCCGGGTTGGTTTCCCCCAGTCAGCAAGCCTATAAGGCATTATCAGGGGAAAAAAATACTAGAAGTACTTTATTCTTATTTTTCATTTTAGTGATTGTAGGGTGAAAAGCAACCAGTAAATTTTAAATGAATTACATCATGAAGTCTCTGTACACTTCTCACAGTGGCCCTGGGCTGTAGACCAAACTATGTATGACGTTGAAAACATATTCAAAAAAACACAATCTTTATATTTTTAACAAAAATTGATTGTAAACTTTTAAAAAAACAAATAATTATTTAATTGCAGGATGCAAGTTATACTCGGTTCATATATTATGAAAAATAGAGAATTTGAATGTATATATTCTAGATAAAGGGACGTGCCAACTCATTAAAAATGCCTCCAAAAAGCCTAAAAACAAGATTTTTTAAAACTTAAAACAAAAAATTTAAAGAAAAAGCCATTCTAGAGCAACAAAAATTATCAAAATCAATACATATTTAATTGAAAATAAAAGAAAACAAAAATGACTACTTCGCGACAAAGCAAGACCATCATATAATGTAAACATTTTAATTTATTGAACTTTGAAAAAAAGTACACAAATATCTCATACTGCCTCATGCAAGAGCAACATGGGGTATATGTGTAAAAATGAACAATGTAGACTTATATGGTTATAACTGGATATAATAATATTATATCCAGTTATAGCCATAGCCTAAAATCTATCTATAGCCTAGAATCTGCTCCTAGCAAATTGTAACCTCAGTTTTAAACCCCACAATTTTCTTCTGATATTTATAAATTATTATACTCTGTTATTTTATAAATCAGTAGAAAAAGTAATTAAAAACAACATAGTGTCTTTTAATTGCTTGAGATGAGACTAAGACTAATATTTTTGAGTAAAAAAATTAACCATTTAATAAGTAATCTCTCGTGAAATGAGAGCTCATTTCTAGAGATTTGTTGTTTGCATCATTTACGTTATATTTTCTAAAGTTTTAAAAATATTTATTTTACATTTTATTAAACAAAAAAATCTGAATTATGCTGTAAATAAATTGTAAATCATAATCATTTATTTAGTTTTGTGAATGATTTTTAATGTTTAAAATGATTTAGAAACCAATAATTTTTAATTTAATTTTTTTTCCATTGTATTCGTCAATTTTTCTTCTTTGTATATTTCACCTGACCAACAATTGAGTTTTCACTGTTACACAGCTTCTTTTTTTTTAACATTGAATGCATATCAAAAAAGTGTTAACTATTCTACTATTTTGTTTCAATTCTATTTTACTTTTGCTTACTGTTTGCAAATGACCACATATTTTTTTTGAACTCGGTTGTACAGTACATCTCTGTCTTAAATACCCTCAGTGTTTTTTAATTATTGATGAATTATAAGTTTTTTATTTATTTTTACCCTTCAGCATGTTTGAATTATTGGTAAACAATAACACAATATGGTCTTGTTTACAAATATCTAAAACTTCATTAATTGTTAACAATGTTGTTTATTATGCTGATTAATAGGTCATCATGAGGACTACTGAATATAAGTTTTTATAATTAAAACAATTTCTTAAGATACATTGAAGCAACATTACTTCTTGATTAAACACTACTTTATCTATATTTATGGTGATAAAAAAAGTTGGAAGTTTTTTAAGCATTCTCTCTATAAAATTTTGCGGTCTTGAAACCTTGGGCTGATTGTATAAAAGGATTTTAATCACTGGATGGTAAAAAAAAATTAAGACTATTCAATAAGTTTTATACAAGGTCTTAAAAAAAATAATTCTGAGTCAGGATTTGAGAAAATAATTTTTGACAAACATTTTTCAGAATTAGTTTCAAACCAAATGCGCAATGCAATTTTTTTATGTTTTAAGTTTAAAGACTTCAACTTCGTTTCTGTTATATATTTTATCATAATTGATAACTAATTATAATTAAAGTTAAAACTGTTTTAATTCTTTTACCAGTTTCATTTTCTATATGTAGGTTCGATGCACTAACAGTTCCAAGTTAAAACAAATTATTTAAAAATAGAACAAACTTAAAAATACAAATTAATATATAAAGTAATGTCTCATTTTAATAATTCCAGTTTGCATTCTGCACCTTGTTTAGTTAGCTTCTTCTGTTGCATCTTCTTTTTTTTTTTTAAATTAGTTGACATTATTTGATAACTTTAAGATGATTTTATCTTTTTTATCTTTAAATAGAGAAATGCCCTGCTTTGATAACCAGGGCGTATAAACTAAGGTAAGAGCAGGCATCATCTCAAGCACAGGAACAACAAACAACATTTTGTTTATGAAGTGTTGCATGGACCACCTGTAATTTGACATTTTAACACCATTGTGTACAAAATGACAAGTATCACCAACATAAAGTAAGCAACAATTTGGTTTTCATGTCTAATTTTCCTTCTCATACAAATAGTAGAATCCAATAAATTGAAAACAAGTATTAATGATGCACAGTGTTTTAATACAACTAATGAATGATATTAAATATTATAATAATATTAGTTTTGTAGCAAAAACATGCTATGAATTTACTAGGAACCATTTTTTTTTTTTTTTTTCTAAGAACAAAGTATTAGAAAATTGTATTTCCAAATATAATTTCGTAGATAAACAGATTTAAAATATTTTGTAATAACTCTCTTAAAAGAATAAAAGGTGAGAAGAATCAAAATTGATCTTTTGGATTGCTTTAATATGATTGCTTCTTACTTTAAGCCATTTTAAAATAGCAAATGTATTAAAGATACCAAAAGATACAAATTGTCATTTTCCACAAAAGAATAACTTTAAAAAAAAACAATTCAAAGAATTAAAAAAATGTTAAAATAATATTTTAAAGATAATAATAAATACCAGTTCCTTGCGAGCCATTCGAGGAGAGGAAATTGTATTAAACTTTTTCTTTGGTGATCTAAATAAAAAGATATTTTAAAATAAATATTGGCAAGATTGTTTTTGAATAAAATAAAATTGTAAGAATTAAATAGAAAACTATAATTACGTGAGATGATCAAGGCTAGGATATATATTTGATATAGTGTTTTGCTTGATCATTGTCCTGAAAATGAAAACAAAAATGATAAAAAGATGTTTTGTAATAAAACATAAACATATCAAAAAAGATTTTTTTTTAAATCATCAAAAATCAATAAAATTCAATTAAACTTCAAGTTTGATATTTTTAGCTAATTGAACAAACTGGAATAACAAATTTTTAAATTTCCCATTGTGAATTTGATTCTCTTGAATTTAGTTAATCAGACTAGTTAGTAAATTAGTATTGACAGGGTTAACAAAGAGGATTATTTTAATTTTTTTAATATTTTGTTAGTCCTACTTTTGTTGTTGTTGTTGTTGTTGTTGATGTCGATAACGTGATAATGTAAAGCTAATAAATAAGAATATGAATATATATATAAATAAATATATACACACACACACACACACACACACACACACACACATATATATATATATATATATATATATATATATATATATATATATATATACACATATATATATACATATATATATATATACATATATATATACATATATTTACATATATATATATATATATATATATATATATATATATATATATATATATATATATATATATATATATATATATATATATATATATATATATATATATATATATATCAGGGTGTTGACTCTTTGGGAAATTTTTGGCATCTCTAGTTTCTAGTATTGAACTTTGGTTTGAAAGTAACTGAAAAGTCATTGGTTTTTTTTACTTTTTGAAAAAGACCACCCATCATGACCCTTGATTAACACGCTAGGTCCCATATATCATGTGAATTTCTTTTTTCTTCAAAAGTATAACAACCTGGGTCTCAAAATACCAGATATTAATAGTGATTTCAAAATTCATAATCTTTCCTATTGAAATGTTTTTGAATAAAAATATTGCTAACAAAATGTCATAAAAAAAAGACTACTCCATTTTTCAGTTAAAAATTGTTGTTTTTTAAATATAAAATTTAAACAATTTATTTTTATTTAAAACCATTATTATTTCTGAAATCTCTATGAAACTCTGATTCTTTTAAGGTCAGGTTGATATACTTGGAGAAAAAATATTTCACGATATAAGGGATCCAGCGTGAGACCAAGAGTCATGGTGGGTGACCTTTTTCAAAAATTAAATAAAACCAATGACTTTTCAGTTACTTTCAAACTAAAGTTAATCTATTTTTTATACAGGAAACTGGAGATACCAAAAAGTCAACATCCTAATATATATATATAATATATATATATATATATATATATATATATATATATATATATATATATATATATATATATACATATATATATATATATATATATATATATATATATATATATATATATATATATATATATATATATATATATATATATATATAATATTTTACATATAATTATATATAATATTTTACATATAATTATATATAATATTTTACATATAATTATATATAATATTTTACATATAACTATATATAATACTATACATGTGTGTATATATATACAAATCTTTGCGCACTTAGTCTAAAATATTAGTATAAAATGTTACTAATGACATCATACTGACAAATAAAAATTAGCATAAAATATTATTGATGACATCATACATCATACTGAAAAAAGAAGCTGTGGGGGCTTCAGCACACACACACACTCACACACACATATAAATCGTATATATTGTTAATTTTTTTTTTTGGTTATGCAAGCATGCTACCACATATGCTTCAGTATAATTATTACACATAGATAAGATGTTCAAACCTTTTATTATCCTGTCCCTCTTCCTAACATAGAGATTATTTATTAATCTAAAAGAAGTCTCACTACTCCTCATGATATCTATCCTTTTTGATTTTACTGAATTGCTCTACAATTTACAATCTACCATTACTATGACTTGGTGGCTCCATTCGTCACATGTATGCAATCATGGTGTTGCAGAAACAAAAAAATTACCAAAAAAAAATTATTCTTGAATTATATTCACTTTATATCTTGTAAAAAAAAGTTTTTCCTTTTTTATTAAAAACAATTATTTCAAATAATATTTTAAATAACATGTATTTTTTTTCATCCTATTTTTTAAAGAATAAGTTAAAAAACGTTTATTATCTTTAAACTTGTCACTTGTGGGTAAGGATAGTAAGAGCTTGTAAACTTTGGATGATAGTCCACCTAGAGATAGTATCACAATAAAAACTCATTTCTGATCTGAAAAACCGATTAATCCCTTGAAAGGCATCTGGTTGTAAAGAATGCCTTTAACTGTTTCCATAATGAGAATTTTAGTCTTCCATAATAAGAAAATGACAAAACTTGTGGTTAAAACCTGTCCACACCACCTATGTGTAGAACCATAGACATTTAAGCTATTGCGATTCCCTATTACAAATATAAAAAACTGCTATTTAAAATTTAAATAATGTAATCATCTTAATTTCTGCAACTACACTATACCAGCATATTGAAATCAAGTGTGGGTTATAGTTAAAAAGACCAGGATTTTAAAACTTACTTAGGGAATACCAACTCCCCACACATGCTCTGTTCATATAAAAGAAAATATTAAAAAAAAATATTTGAGCTAAATTTTTTTTATTGAAAATAATTAATAAATGTATACTAATAAACATTAAACTTATTGTTTTAGCCATAGATCCTTTTTCATTTTTCTTTAAAAAAGTTTAAAAATTCTTGTTTTTTTATTTAAATTTTTATTTAATTTTTTTAAGTTAAATTTATTTCTAATCTTTCACATTTAATTATTTCATTATTTTTAAATTTAAAAAAAAGGGAGTGAAGACCAAGTGACAGTGGTCCCATTATTGCTGTGATCACTTATAAGTTTTATATTAATTTTTCACTAAAAGTGTTTTATATTAAAACCTGAGACAAACCATTCTCAATGCAACATAAATTGAAAAACATCATTCAGCTTTATTTTTGAATCCTTACATGTTTTCTCTGCCTTTTTTTTAGAGAGGTTAAAATTAGTTTTAAAATCTTAGTCGGTAGCAAGAAAATTAATTTTGGGCGGTTGAAAACTCCTGATAAACTATCTTTAAGAAGCTAGGCTTCTTGCCTTAATAGTTCTTCTAAAACCAAATTCCCTAATATGACACGTTTGTCTACTACCATTGTTAAAAGCAAGTTTTCTGAATGTGCAAAAAAAGCGTTTCTCTCAATTACTGGGTTTACTTTTAGCAAATCATTGCTAAAAGTAATAGACTCAGTAATTAAGAGAAACAAGTAATAGACTTGGGCAGGAATCTTGACAATTTTATTATTTCAAATACATGTTCTGCTCCATTTGAGAAGTGTTTACTTTTTTTTATTATATGAAACCATCCAGGGACATATGATTTTCCTCTGTTTTGTTTGTGGAAACCGTTTTAATTTAAGTTTTTCAACCACTAGAGCTTTGTCCCTCCTCCCATCAAAATACAGTCCTTGTAAAGGGTTATATTTTTCCTTGCTCTGCATTTGAAGTTGTGAATGGTTTCCGTTTTTGCTCTTTTAATTTTATTTTTGTTAACAACAAGACTATGATCATAATTAGTTTCGATACCAAAATCTTGCAAAACACTTTAGGCAATAGCTGCCATTGCTCTGTCTGATACTCCATAGTGATCACTAGTCAGAGCAGTATTTTTCATTGTAATGTGCATCTGCGATGATGGCTTAGTTAGCTTAAATTCTTCTAATTCTTCATCGATGATATCTTTAATGGCTACGGAGGCATCACTATCAAACTCATTTCACTTAAGTGTTTCAACTAAATGGTTTGAGCATGAATGTTGTGATAATAGATTATTAGCGGGCAGAGTTCTTTTAAGTTCAACAAATTTCATATCTTCTCTTAGTGTAATTTTTTTTTGTTTCTTTTATGTCAACACTTCCAATTTTACCAATACCATGCATTCTTTGTAAGTACAAAAATTTTAGTTCAACGATGTTCTGTTTCAATTATCTGTAAGTGTGAAAATTTTTATTTTCACACTTACAGATAATTGAAACAGAACACTCACATTCAAAAAACTGCTCTAATGCGAACATTATTAAAAAAATGATAAAAAGCAAGTATTTATTGAAATATTTAAGCATGATGCGCTAGCTCCAGACGTAAAATATTTGTACTATTTTTTTTTGCATTTTCCTTAGATACACTTGCGGCATGTTTTCCGCGGTTTAGCAAATCAAAAATCAGAAGAAAAGAGTAAAAGTAGAATTTTGCAGAACCTCTGAAGTTACAGAATATAATGATGAGTGCTGTCCATCAAGGACAACGATCGGAAAGGAGGGATTTAATAATCTTAAAGATGTTACCTGATACACCAGCATGCCAAACTTTATCAAAATTAGAAATGTCAATACAATAGCCTTAACGTCTTCACCTCTATCTAATGCACAAAAAAATCTATTGGTTATTACTGTTAATAAACCAGACAAGAAGATCGAAATCCATATTGATGATCAGAAAGTAAGTTATTAGATTTTAGATAAAAGATTAAGTGTTTATTAATTAAAGATTCGAAAACCTTGCTTATGATAGAAAAAAGACTAATAGGAAAAAAGTTATACGAGTTAAATTGCTCTCCAGAATTTTGAAAATAGAGATAACGAATGCTGCTTTTCAGCAGGTTGGGAAACAAGACTCTGATAAGCACTTGTTAAATAGTTTTTAAAGTATATAGGACAGCTCCGGAGAACACTTCTGCAAGATTATAACAGGTATGTTGTCCAGACCACAAGCTGTAGAAGAGTCTAAGTGGGAAATCATTTTAGATACAGAAGCTGGAGTGATTCGAATATCAAGCATTGGGTCAACCGGTTTGTTATCCATATCAGGTAGAACGCAAATAGTGAAATCAAGAGATGATATTGATGAAAAGTTCTTAGCAAACAATTCAGCTTTGCCTTTAGGTGAGGTGATAAAGTCTGAACCATACAAAAGAGGTGGAATTACAGACTTGCATTATTACTGATACTGTTTAAGATTCTCCAGAAGTCACGGGAGCCTAATTTTTTAAAAGACATACAAGATTTCATGACTTCAGAAGAGTTTGTCTATTTTCTGGAGAATTCTTTTGCTGATAGATATCAAAGTAATTGTTTTGATCAGAGATTGCAGCAGCACAATGTGAGGAAAACCAAGGAGAAGAGTGAGGTTTGACACACATTTGGCTGAAGCAATTTGTTTTATTCTTTAAAAAAAAACTTATTGAACCATTTGAATCGTTTATATAATTTTCTAAAGTCATTTATTTAAGAAAGCTAATTTTGTTCATAATTTGAATTGTTGAGAGGGTATGAAAGATTCCATGCCAGCTAAAAACCAAGTAGTTATGTAAGAAGCACATTTGTCAGCAGGAAGACGAAAGATTTATACCTAAGGGCCACTAAGAAAATCATGGAAAGAGTCCCGATCACCTTTAAGGTAGTTATGATAATAGTGATGATAATGGATACTGATGATGAGGAGGAATGAGATAATAGTTTTATAGAAATCAAACCATGATCAAAAGCACCTAAGAGTGAATGTGGAGAAATTGAGCACTGACTAGGATCAGAAACAAGACATAAGTCGAGTAGAGAAAGTAAATGATTCAGGTTGTCTGGAAAGCGAGTTGGAAAGTTGACTATTTGAGTTAGAGATTGAGAAAGGCAAAAGTTGTGGGCTTTAACGCCTGCAGAGTCAATGACACTAGAGCCAAGCCAATCAGAGTGACGAGCATTAAGATCACCAACAACAACAATATTAACTGATGGATAAAGAGAGAAGACTCAGTCAATTTGATCAAAAACAACATCAAGTGCAGTCTTGAGATGAAGGAGAGCAATATAGAACAAAGAGAAAGGTGATAGAGTGAAGTGGTGCTAAACGAAAGCAATTAAAGAATAGTCAGTGGATTTAAACCTTGTTTTCCAACAAATTCTTAGGGTGAATTCTTATGAATGTAAACACCCAGGCCAAGCATGTGACCATTGGAGTCTTTATTAATTAAAGGAAGATAATCATTAACACTAAGATCACAAGATGAACTCAAATTAGTTTTACAAGCAGCAAGTAGATCTGGTAAACTTTGAAAGAGATAAAACTCAACAGAAGAAAAGTTACTTTGAAGACCATGAATATTAGTGAATGATAAATTTAGAGAACTTGGTGATGACAATGGCTTTTTGTGTTTTATAGTTTTTGGTACTTTAGTCATTTTTAAATTTGTTAAAGAATTTGACTTAAAGCATAGATAGTACTCAGTGCACTATTAAATAGTCTAAGCAATTGCCTCATTACTATTAATGAACCCAAAGCAGTAACAAAGAGCTCCAATGTGGCCTTGGCAATGCACACCAAAAGTAAAAACAGGGGCACCATCCATGCGCAACATGGCACTGTTAGTATTTTACAGCTGTTGATGGAATCAGCTTCTTTGAGAGCTACCACAGAGTTCAGGAAACCTGACTACCATAAAACTGAGTTTTAGAGCTGTACCCTCATTAGGAGATAATAGAATGAGTTGCCTAGTCATAAAAACAGAGACATAAGCAAAACCCATGCATCAAGTGAAGAAGATCCAGCATTCAACATCCTAAAAAAAATGTATTAATCCTAAAAACAATGTATTATAAATACATCTGCGAATCTGCAAAACAATAATATCTTATCTTAACTAAATCTTTCTTGGCAACAAACGCTCTATTATTGTTTATTTGTATTTGAAATTTTATTGTATTGAAAGTTTATTTGAAAGTCACAATAACAACAAAAAAAATAAAACTATATAAATAAAAATAACTATAAGATCTTATTATATATCACAGTATCATCACATCATACCCTAAGGCAGATCTCTTACTCATTTTTAAAATACTGAAAAATTTTTTATGATTTTTAAAGTAAAATTACTTAAGATCAAATAAATAAAGGAAATTAAGCGAAGGGTAAAAAACAAAAGACAAAGTTAAGTGATAAACGTTTGTGGAGGAGAACTATATGCTTATTCCTTAACAATGTAATTGTTGAATTAAACAATAATACTCTGGAAATTTATGTATAAAACCATTGATGTTAACTTTAGTTACCTGGGAGCTGCTTCAGAATTACTTTTAGCATCATCGCTTAATTCAGTGACTTCACCTTAGATATAAAATTATGAAATTATGCAAGTAAGAATTATGAATGATAGAATTCTTGATATTCAATCAATTAACTACCATTATTTTTATGTATACTACTATACTCAATGAATATACTAATATTAGAATTTATTTATTATTATTTTTACATATAATATTTTTAACAATATTGCTAAATTAAGAGCTGAAAAAAAAAACTATATCAGCATATAAGGGTATTATTATACAAACAATCATTTTAATAACCCATTCAGGTGGTTTGAGGTTTAAATCCACCTGAAACTTCTAGAAGAACTTTTGATTGTTTAACAACTTTGTCACTTTCATGATATTTACCTTGCTGATGTCCTTGGCAAAAAAAAAAAGCATTTAGAAGAACTCAAGACTGATAATGACCAATAAGAAATTGATGAAGACGATAATGACTCTGATGATGATAAAGGTGAGGAATATCAAAAAAAATTAGACAACAACAGTGTGATTAATTAGGTACCAACTAACGGTATGATTAAATTTTTGTGAAACTAAAAAAAATTGCTAACTTATTCAGGAGATATCTAACCAAAAATAATATTATTTAACAATGTTGTTTGAAAGAGTTATTAAGAACAATCAATGATTTTTGACACAAAGATAATATGGAACTCTGTGTTCCAAAGATAATATGGAACTCTGTGATCAAAATCCTTTCATGAAATTTCCAGATAAAAATTTTTAGAGATCTTATTCAATATAAAAAAACTTTGATATGGGTGGACTTTTTAGATAATTAGGCAATTCAAATGGTTATGATAAAATTACTGAAGATTTATTTCTTTCATATCCATAAATAAATGATCTTTCAAAAATTGCAAAAGATCTATTAATAGGAACTTTTTTGTTACAATTGAAAATTGCTAATCTTAATTGGTTATTGTCAATCAAATGACTTAAACAAGGGAACTCCTCCAGAATCTAAAGATTTATTTTTAAAGATAAGTAAATTGATAAGCTTTATGAATATTTATCTGAATATGTTGTATGAAAGCAGAAATATGTTTTAATCTATTAGCTTATTCACTACCATTAATTGTTGAAATCATTGATACATTATATTTTTTAAGGTCAAGTTTAACCAAAAATAAATAATTTTTACTCATTTGGTTGAAGCAATTTGTTTTATTCTATTAAAAAAAAAAAAAAAAAAACTTATTAAACTATTTGAATCATTTAAACAATTTTCTTAAGTCATTTATTTAAAAAAGTTAGTTTTGTTCATAATTTAAAAAGCCCTATAAGGGTATTACAAGAGTGTTATAGGTTGATAGGTTTGATAGTATTAGTTTATTTAATAAGCTATTAGAAATTTCTTGGTACCACAATAAATAATGATCTGCTTTACTTGTTGCTTACTGCTAGTTCATAAAATGAAAAATTTTTATGAACTAGCTTTATATCTAATCTATTAATACCAAGTATTTATGAACCATTTTTACAAGAGTTTTGATACCAAGCAGTAGAAGTAAATGTTAATTGCTTTTTGTTCTAATGTGAAGACTGAACTTTATTACAACATATTGCTGAATATTTTTTCTAATTTTTTTAAAAACGAAAATTAAAAAATTTATAGAGTTTCAAAGAGCAGTTTCAAAAGATTAATTAGCTGAAAGTCTAAATTCTACTATACAAGAAGTTGCTTTACTGCATTATCTAAATAATATTGAATTCAGCATGCATATAACAATTGATCACTAAATTAGATTTGTTATCCTGTTTACAATTTTGTTAAAGAAGTGTACAATTTTTAGTTTGTAACATAAAAAGTTAAAAGTTAATTACGCTGGAAAACTTCTATTGCTTTTATTTTTTCTGTATGGTTGTCTTTAGCATTTAAAAGACTAATCCAATATTTTTTTGTAAACCTAAATTTGATCTGTTGTGTGGAAATTGAAAACAAAAGAAATGCTTTGAAATGCTCACATGATATTGTTAAAGGTATTCATTCTAAAATTTAATTATATAGAAAATTTTTCTTAATAGAAGGATAGAAACTAATAAAAAAGACTTATTGTTAGTATATCTTAACCAATTAATCTCTTGATAAGGTTGTTTTCCAGGCAGAATGAGTAAACAAATATATTAAAAATTTGTAAATAACATTATTAATTACATAAGTGACATTAATAAACATTATTAGATAACTGATTCTTCCAATTTAAATTATAGCTGAATTTAAATAACAGACAAATAGTTTTTTTTAAATCAACACTAATAACATTAACAAAAAAAAAAAAATAGTTTCCTCAACTACAGTGACCCCTTCAGCTTTGGTTAGGTTGATGATTTTTTTTTCAAAAAAAACCTACTGCTTGTGGCAGATTCCTTCAAATGTTGACGTGAAGGTAAGCGCTTTTCCTGTGGAGGAGGTCTTGGAAATTCATGATCAAGCCTATCTGTTAAGTGAAGATTTTTGTGTGGGCTTGTTTCTTTTAACTGCACATGAGTTTCAACAACATGAGAAACCTAATTATAATAAATCATATGAATAATAATTATTTGCCATTAAAGCAAGTCATATTACATATTTTGTTTAGTATTTTATATGTTAGTTTATGTTTCTTTGTTTGATATATACTGTTAATTGCATTTTCTTTATTAAACATATTCTGTCAACATTAGGTCATTTCATTTAACAATATTTTTTAAAACAGTTAGCAGTTTAACACTTGATTTTACTTAACGTCTCACTTTAAACTTTACTTAGATTTTGAAACACTTATCTGAAAGTTAAAATTATTTTCTAGAAGTTTATATAATTAATTTTTAATTCAACTTTTTAAAATATTCTTCACACTCTGTATTATGCAACACTAAATTATATTTAAATTTTAACATTATGCTTACATTTTATTTATACACCTCTATATATACTTAGTATATATAGAGGTGTACAAATTTATTAAAATTAAAGTATAAAAGTTATTCATTTATAAAGTTTATTTTATAATTTTATTTTTTTAATAATACAAAAACGGAATGTTTTAAAGGGATCCCAAAGTGCTATAAAGATATGATCTCATATGAAAGAGCATAAAAAAAAAATGTTTGATGTATATTATTTTTTTTAAAACGTAATAATAAACACACTAACAAATTTAATTTAAAAAAAAACGCTTTTCTTCGATTAAAAAAAATGTGTCTTGTCCAAAGTTTATTGACTCAATTGCCTCAAAAAACTAACTTTTGTACGTCAAATTAAACAAAGTAGACAAAATGTCATTATTGTAAACGTATTCATTGGTAATTAAATTTAAAAGTAAAGTCTTTTTTTTTTTTTCAACTAACACATAATTACTTACAAGAATAAGTTTTGTAGCATTTTGTGAAAATATAATTTTATATTAAAATTTTTTAAATAATTTTTAATTATATATTTGTGTTATAAGGACAATTCCATGGCCAAAAATGAATAGAAGTCAAATTTTGAACTCTTTTTAGTCAGTTTTTAACAAATGAATATTGATCTAGACACATGAAAGTTTATTTAAAATATTTCCTTAGTACAAAAATAAATTTATTTCAGTCATTTTTATGGTTTCAAAAGTGACGGTTACTCTCATTTTTGCTTGATAAAAAAAATAATTATTGTAAAATGTTTTAGTTAAATTAACATTTATGTTAATTTTGCTATACTTTTTTGGTAAAATTGATAAGGTTGAGTAGACATTTTATTAGAAATTAAACTAAGACAGGGCTCGAATTAACGCAAAAAAATCTAATCGCAAAAAAATTTTTTTTTTGCTCTCCCCTCCCCCTCTCTCTCTCTTACAGCTGGCGCCGATATACGGTAATGGGGGGAGGAATTTGCGTTAGTATAAAATTGTCTCTTTAGCACGTAATTGTTATCTTTTAACATACTATCTCTCATATTTAAATGCTATCTTATGATTTTCTTGTTTGGCGGAGTTTAAAATAGCGTAAGTTACTGTTATAATTTACAGCTTAATTTATAATTTAAAGTTTAAGTTACAATTACAGTGTAATGAGCAAGTAACGTATTTAATACTATTAATTAATTGTTTTTATTTAACATGATACTTAAAAAAGTAAAAGTAAAAAAATAAGAGTAAAAAGCAAACATTACTATATTTCAGTGACGGATCCAGGGGGAGAATGGGTGTATGCATCCCCACCACCACCACCACCACCAGGATCTGAGAGTCTTGAAAATAATGAGACCTTGTTTTTTGAAATTGAAAACCTTGTTTTTTGCTTTTTTTTAGGAGATGCAAACATGGTACAAAATTAAAAATTGTTTTAACATCCCCCTCCACCAAAAATTCCTGGATCGGTCACTGCAATATTTTAAACCACTTTAATTAGTCATAGAAAACTGTTTAATACAATCACGCTGACAAAAAAACATGTGTTTTTAATGAGTATTTAATTGTTATTGTAAAAAGCTATATAACAACAATGAAACAAAAAGTTATCTTTAAAATATAAATAGTTTATAAAATAGTAAAATATAATAAGTTTTTCATTTAAATAGTTTTTAAGTTGATGTTTTTATTCAATTTTTCTATTTTAATTGTTTTCCAATAAAAAGTGAAACAAAAAAATTTGGTTTAATAAATTGTATTATACTTTATGTTTAAAATAAGGCGTTAAAGTAAAAAAATTGCTGGTTTTTATTAGCATTTTTATACTGTTTGAAAAAAAAAAACTAATAAAAAAGAATTAACTAATAATATATTAATTAATAATTAATAAAATTAATAATAATAATCAATACTTTTTTATTCAAACAGTATACAAATGCAAATAAAAGTCAGTAATTTTTTTGCTCTAGGGTTTTAAGCCTTATTTTAAACATGAAGTTTTGATAAAACAAAAATAAAAACCAACTTTTCGCTTTAAAGACCTTGTAAAAATTTTCCACGCAGAGATTTAAAGTAGTTTAAATTCAAAAATGTTTTACCTTGAAAGAAAATTTCCGCGCGAAAGAGCAAATCATCTATTCATCTATCTATTCAGAATAATAAATTTTGTGTGACGTTCTTTATGATAAAAAAAAGCTAAAAAAAAAAGTAATTAAATAACCAAAAAAAAACAAATCGCGAAAAGATTTTTTTTAAGAAAAAAACTAATCACGAAAGTGTGAAAAGCAATCGCAATCGCGATACGCTTAATACGAGCCCTGTAAGACTTTTTTATAAGTTCTAAACAATTTAAAACTATTACTTAATAACTTTTTTTTAACGACGCCTTTCAACAAAATTCTATTAAACTGTTTTTGCAAAACTAATTAAAAAAACTTGATTAAAACTAAACTATTTAATCACAACTTTTTTTTACTTGAAAATTAAAGTAGATATTCTAAAGTTGTTGTGACGTACTAACATGATTTTTAACGACTAACAATCGAGTTTCAATAGTAAAAAAAAAAAATTAAAATGGAGTTGTTTTTTAGTAATTTTGGCAATTGCTTTTTGTTAGCATGCATTTATTATTACCACTTAGTGAAAAAGAAAAAAAACTTACATATTTTTTTTAATGCTCTTTCATATGAGATCATATGTTAGGAGCACTTAGGGATCCCTTTAATAGTAAAAAATTTCAATATATTTCAAAAAAAAATAAAAAAATATGCATAACACTAACATCTATACCTAAATTTCAAATACAAGCTTTAAAAAAATAAAATGTTTAAAGAAACTTCTAACTTCCAACACGTTTAAAAAACAAAAGACAGTCTTTAAAAAAAAATTCCAAATTGGTTTATTAGACTAAAATGGCTTAAATTGACTTTAGCTATTTTAGTATAATCCTAAACTCTTCAAAATAGATGCACTTTTTAGAAACACAATCTACAAATCTAATAATTCTATATAAATAATGATGTAAATAATGGGGTAATAAATTAATAGTAGAGTAATAAACTCACATTCAAAAGGTTTGAGATTCAAATCCACCCTACACCTCTGTAACAATTTAATTTTACCCTGTACACCTCTTAAATACAACATTTATACCTCTAGAAATACAATGCTTTAACCTGTTTCTCTGTTCAGCCTTGTTTAACAAGATTGATATTTTGAAGTTTAGGCTTAAAAGAGAGCTACAAATAAAATAAAAATTTATTTTAAAAAAAGCCCTTTTTCACAGTGGGCCTAGAGGTGGAAATAGACAAAAAAAATTTGCTTGAGAAAGCCAAAAAAAACTATTTATTCAGAAAGTCAGATAAATTTGTGGATGAATAAAAAAAAAATTTATGTTTATAGCTAATTTCTAAGTGACGATATGCAATTTTGAAGTTGATGAATTTCCAATTTTTTTGTGTATCTATAAAAGTTTAGTAAACTTGGTTAGTTTCCACTCAAAATTGATTTACCGACATAAAAATTGATCAAACTTATGTAAAAGTTGTTTTTAATTTAATATGAAATATATTTTTGAATAAATAAATTAAAAGTGTTTTATTTTCTTTAATTTTATTTTTTTTACAGCTTTTAAAACCTAATTATGTAATTTTTGTTATATTAATAAATTTTGTTATAAATTTATGCTGTTATTTTTTACAAAAAATCAGATTAAATCTTAAATTTTTTCAAAAGTGCTAACTTACCTCTATTGTGTCATACATTTTTTTAATATTTAAAATTTCTTCTTTTCAAATATCTCAAGGGGAACTGAGGCAAGTTAGCACTTTTTTATATTTACATGATTTAAATAGGTTGAACAGTGATTACTTTTATTTTCTTAAAATATGTGAAGATTTAGTTTTTGGTTACAAATATGAAATATTTTTAATTTCTATTTGTTTATTTGATATGATTTTGTGTTTGTTTTAGCATAAGTAAAGTAAAATAAAAAATAAATGTAATGGAGGAAAACAAATATGTAAAATACATCAAAGAAATAGTTTTATTTGAATAATTTATTAAAGCTGACAAAACTGCTAGGTCAATTTCAGTAACATATTCATATATCAAAGAAATACTTTATAAAAACTTTGAACTATCAGTTAATTCACTGGAGTTTGAAAATGTTTATGAAAAAACATGGAAAACGTTACAAACGCTTGAAAGAAAAACATTTAAAGAAAAATGGATATGCATTTATAATTTCACGTGCATCAAAAGATATTGTTTATGAAGTAGAGGATACTTACATAACAGAACCGTGTTTTTCAAAACAAAGAAAATATTTTACAGAACTATGCAATAAGATAAAAAAAGAGAGGACACAGGAACTCCTCAATTATATATACAACTTTATCGCTAATGAGTGCCCAGAGTTGCATGTTAACCAGTTATTGGGTTACCTCTTATATAGAGTTAATACACAAAATAATAAAAGTGTTGCTTGTGTTGGCAATGCACTTTTTACACACAATATGGAAACAGCAGATACCTTTAGCATAGACGAATCCATTGCTTTAATGCATTCCCTTACATTAAGTAAGGAGCAAATGAGAAGGTTAAGATTTCTTTTTCCTTCAAAAGGCATATATTTTCCAACAACCAATGAATTGTTTGAAAAAAAAAAAAACTGTGCCCTACAATTAGTAATGTTTTGACTGGAAAAGGTGCTTCTGTTCAATACAAAGTGCTTGTAAAAATGACAATTGATTCTGTTTTGAATATAATTAAAGATTCTTTTATTTCAGTAGACGGCGATGAGTATCAGATGTGTTTCAAAGATAGTTGTGATGGAGCAGGGCAACAAGTATCAATGAAATCAAAAGAAATGATTGAAAGCAAGTCAAATATGTTTCAATATGATCTTATTCCTCTGAAACTAATATGCCATCGAGATAGTAAAAATATGACCCTGTGGCAAAATCATTCACCAAATGCATCAAGATCATTATGTCCTGTGATAAGAGAAACTGAAACTAATCAAGATTTGCTAGATCTTATTCTTCTAACTACTGATAACGCACGAGAAGAATTAAATGCTGAAGGAATGTGTTGTCTGTTTGGAAAAAATTATATCAATGTCAAAATTTATATTCAAGATACAATGAAGGATTTAAAATTTAAATGACTCATCAGCGGACTAGGAGGTGCAGATTGTATACTTTGCAAAACAAAAACTTCTGAATGGACAGATATTACAAGAGTTAGTGAAGGATTTCTGATTGATTAATCATCAGAAAAAACTTGGCTGTTGCATGAAAAGCTAGTTAATAAGGATGGTATCATTCCTACTAAAACGAGAGATTTTGACACACGAAAAGGACTGACTAAAAAACCACAAACCAAATTCGATCAAAAAAGCATGTGTATTACACATTCATATATAAATGGAACTACCTGGTTTTTAAAACTACTGTATCGGTGTCATATAGATTATAGACTTTAGGTTGAAAAAACAGGACCACTTGGTAAACCAATACGTTATGCAAAAAATAGTATTATTACTAAAATAAAAGAAAACACTGGACTGCGATTAGATGTGTTGTAACCCTCGTGAGAAGGGAGGAACATCTACAACAGGGTCACAAGGTCATAGATTTTTTTCTGAAGAGTTAATTTCTACTATAAAAGATCTATGTTCTCCTATGTACGAAGATAGCATATTACTACTACATTCTCAAATCAGTGTAATACTTCGATTAGTTTCTTGTCAGCGTAAAATTAAAACAGACGAATTTCAGGAGTTATACAATAATACTACACTTAACATTATTACAAATATGCCATGGGCACAAATTAACCACACTCTTCACGGAGTCCTTCATCATTCAGCTGAGTTAATAATTCTTAATGATGGTTATGGCCAAGGCAATTTATTAGAGGAAGGTCTAGAAGCAAACAACAAAGATATAGAGAGATCAGATCCTTGTGTTTTAAACCGAATTATCCATTCGCATCCTCCAAAGTTATGCCAAGATTGTGGTTCAACTGAGCATACAAGCAGATCTCATAAGCATATGTTTTCAAAACCAAAGAGATATTTTGATGATATGTTTGAAAACCTTATTTATGATTAATTATGAAGTTATTAACATTTTTTACTAATTTAACTTTTTATCTTTAAATATGTTGCAAGATCAAGTCATTAGAACTCTTTCTTAATAATATTATTATATTAATATTATTTTAAATCCAAATTTAACTAAATACTTGTTTTTAAGTACTAAATTTTTTATCAATAAACAGTAGAAACCAGACCCCCAAATAATTTAAATTTTTGAATTTTATTTTCTTTAAGTATTTCTAATAAATTACTCTTTCAATTGTCATCTAAATAAAATTTTAACTTTAATTATTTATCAAAAAATACCTATTTATCAAAAATGACCAAATATGGTAAATTGAACCTAGTCCACAAATTTGGTTTAATATTAAAAATTTTAAGTTTCTTATAACGAGCAAAAAAATATCTTTCTAAAAAGTCCTCTAGAGTTTTCTAGGATTTCTTAATCATTAGTTATGATTTTATTTCCAAAACTTTGCCTTCTGGGCCCACTGTGCTTTTGGAGTTTTAAGGAGGTGAATTTAATTTGAAAAATCACTTTTATAAATTTCTTTAAAGTGTATTTAAATTTTAAAAGATTAAATTTTTTTAAGTTTATATATATTTTCTTGGTTTACACTGGTTTACTTGTTTTAATCAAAGAAATTAAGCTCCAATGTTTTTTTTCTAAAAAAAATATTCTCCCCAACAAACGCAACATGGGTTGAAAATCATCCTATTAATACTCAACACTTCTATTATGCTCAAAGTTTATTTTAAAATTTATAAAAAGTGAAAAAATCTGAAAAAATAAACCTGTCATTTTATGACAGCAATCTTCAGAAAAGAAAAAAAAAAAAAAAACTTCTATTTATAGTAACTAATAAACATTAAATATTATGCTTCTATAGAAGATTTAAATTGTTATCCTACAAGTATAAATATTGTTTGCTAACTAAAACTTTTAGTTCCGACTTTCAGATAAGCTATGTTCTGTCACGTCAACTAAAATCTGAAACTAAATAGACTAAAAACCTTGTGAAACCTGCGTCTTCTGTTATACTTTTGCAGAGTACCCTATAAAATTTGAAACAAACAATTATTGACAACAAACATAACACTAAACTAGTTTTTTAAATAAGCCAGGCAATTAAATTTTAATTTCTTTTTTTAATTCAAGAGATTAAGAATTCAGATATGTTGAATTTAGTAAAAATAAATAAATTGTATTACTTTGTATTTTACATTGTCTAAGCTCATCATAACTGAATACTTAAAAAACTTTTAAAGCATTTTAAACATTATTTTAAAAATTTTGATTATTTTAGAATTTATTTTTAAATATGTGAAGACATGTACATTAGGGTGATCAAATTTTTTTTTTTGAAAATTTTAGCTCAAAAAAGTTGATAGTGTAAAATGTTTTTTGAAATGGTTTTTATTTTATATGTAAGATCTATTATGGATAAAAATGCAATTATTATACATTTTATAATTATACATTTAATCAACTACAAAGATTATTTTTAGATTATACATTTAATCAAGACTGATGTTGTACCTTTTATAATTATTGAGAATAAAATATTATGACATCATTAAATGACTATTGCTGTTTTCTTTTTAAGCCTAGGATTTAACACTTGTGTAGTTAGGATGAGTTCTACATTATGGAAGAGTTTAAGCAATTTATCACAACTGGATGGCCTTCCTGGCCTGTTTTACAGATTATGGTTGAGTATTTTTATTGTAATACTACCACCAGAAGAATTACCATCCATAGTTTAGTAGCTTATCCTTCCCTTACACACAATTAGGGGTAAATAAATTAAGGCTGATATATCAAATTTTCTTCTCCTAGGTAAGTTGTCTCTATCATTGCTAAAGAGTCTCATTTACTCCAATATACGATCAGCTTAACATCATAACCAGCACATTAGTTAAAGAATTTCATACCGATTCAGAAATAAAAGAACGATTACTATAGTTGGACTCTAGTGAAAGCCAAATAGCTAATAATAGTTTAATAAAATTTTTTTAGAACCATTACAGTATATATTATAGATTATCAGAAACAATTTTATAGCACTGCTTTTGATTAGCAGTACATTTACAAAATTACAACCAATCATCAAATAAAAAAAACAATCTAGGTGCATCTATGCTTTGTGCAGCACAACTATTAGTTCAGATCAAAAAAAAAAAAAAAAAAAAAAAAAAAAAAAAAAAAAAAAAAAAAAAAAAAAAAAAAAAAAAAAAAAAAAAAAAGAATATATTTTGATAATGTTACAAAATTAAAGTTAATAAAAAAATAAAGAAAAATATTTTGATAAATTGCTGTCATCAATCAACTCCAAAAATCATTTTGAAACTGTCAACCAACAAATTAATAACAATTTCACTTGAGTTTTAGACTTGGTTATATCTCAGACAAAGAGTTGTTTGGCGTGTTGAGATTTGGTTATATCTCATTCAATCAGAACTATTTTACTAACATTTACTTAAATTAAAAAGTTTGTTTTGGCTGCCAAAATAATATTTATATTTAACATTTGAGCCCATAAGAGTAAAAGTGGACCAAGTCCATATTTCTATATTGTTAGAAATAAGCGTTCTTAGTGTTTGCATATATTATAAATCAGCCATATGTAATATTATTGATGTCTAGTATCATTTTAAATCTTTTTTCTTAGACAACAAGATATGTGAAATGCACAAATAAATTTTTGAATAATTATTAATAATATAATAATAGTTATGGCCTTGGTCCATTTTTTCTCTAAACATATTCAACAAATCGCTAAATCATTTTAAGTGTAAAATCATGAACAAATTTCATATTATTCGTTTACAATAGCAATTCAAATTAAGACAAGTAGTACAAATTCATACTATGTTGTAAAAAAACACAGTTACTATTTACTAATTATCGACAAAAATAGTCCTCATTATTACAAACAGTACAATAAAAACCACATGAATTTACTGATCATCATCGCCACTGTCATTGAGCAGTTCATCTTCTAGTACATCCTTGTTGTGACCGCTGTGTTCCAACTTTTGATAGAAGTCATGATAGATGGGAGGAATATACTTTAACTTTTGATAGAAATCATGATAGATGGGAGGAACTTTAACAGTTTCATTAGATCTGAGTATTTTTCTTTGCTCAGTTTTGTTGCTCCACAGTACAGTGGAGCCAAACTCACTTCACTAAGATTCGTTTGACGTCCGTGTTTCGCTAGCGAAATGAAACTGAATGATGCGTCGTCATCTAAAGAGTATTTAAAGAACAGTTTGTATGGCTCGTTCTTTCTAAGTTGCAGCCATTGCATACCCAGCCAGTTGACCTTCTGATCACTCTCATCCACTTTCTGATTTGTAATTAATTTCAATAAGGGCTCCACACTCTTGAAATTATCAGTGCTTAATCTTGCAACACTGAAGCGCTTCTTCATAGAGCAGTTCTCGATCAATTTGTACCACTGTTCTGGCACGAAGATCTCTGTGGATTTTGGTTTTGCTCTCTCAATTTTTCCAAAATCTGCATCGTTAGGCAAATAAGAACGCCCAGAGACCATAAACTTATGATTCACCAGTTCAATACTCGTCGTCTGCGTCAAATGCATCCATAACAGTGCAATTTTTATATTTCGATTTTAACCACCGCACGAGTCGCTGAATGCTGTAATAGACGTAATATCCCTATTTGCCAGATTTTGACAATATGCCAATAAGCATGAACCGATCTCACCTGCACCTCGTGAGGCTGTTCCCTCATGCCATACATTCATCACTGCATTGTCATTTTTAAGGTCATGAATGCCTAGATTATACACTGATAATTGCCGGCAATAATAAACTTCATTGGTTGTAAGGCAAGGCAATGACATGACCTTTTGCAGGTCAAAACAAAAAGATGCATGTTTATTGTCTTCATTTTCCTTTTCTAGTTTTAAGGATTGACGTGCCTTCTCTGCTTTGCGCAAATGAATCTCATGCGCTGCTTTTAGTTGAGATTTTTTGTGTTCAGTTTTTTCTATTTCAATGTCTGTTTTAAAAATGTCACATTTCTTGCACGTATCTTTTAGTGGCTGATGGAACGTCAAGTTAAATTCATGATTAAAAATGTCCCGAAATTTCCACTCTTTTTGGGGTTCGACTGAATCCTGTATGCATTTTTCTCTATACATGTCGTACATAGTGGATACCGTCAAATGAGCAGGTAGAAAGCGGCGAGATGCACTGTGACTTCTAGTATAGTGACTTTCGTATGTGGGAAACATGCGAATATAATCTTTAATGCGAGTGATGTGTTCCTCATGAATGCGTTGTGTCTTGTGATCATATTTTCCTCGTCCATCTTTGCCTGACACACCACCATTCTCCCGTTAATTGACTAATGCACGATTTAGTCGACCGCTGCTAATGTCAAATATCGCCAAGAAGTATGGTTTGCAAACAGTAACGGGCTTATTATCTGCAAACACAGAGTATACTAGTGCAAAATCCTTTGCATGTTTATTTTCATTTTTCGTAATTTTGGTTTTTCTTACTCTTGGTCGTCTACGTTCTACTGTTGATTGTTTCACACAGCCAGCAAGAAACAGATTTTGTGCATCAAAATCTCCCAATTTCCAGAAATTTTCAAACAGAGTTTTAGTCTGCTCTAAAGTCAAATTTTCAGCATATTTGTTTTTGCAACTGTGATTTATTAAATAATGTTCGTTTAATTTCTTAGCTTTTTGTAACGTTCCGCCATGCTTTACATATTCGCTAACTGTATTTCGTAAGCGCTTAATCACATTTTTCTTCCAGTTCATTACACAACGTTTTCGTGTTCGAGGGCGTTGATCGGTTACAATCGGAGATTCAGTTGTTACAATCGGAGATTCAGTTGTTACAATCGGAGATTCAGTTGTTACAATCGGAGATTCAACTGCTACAACCGGTGAATTATTGGCTACAATCGGAGATTCAGCTGCTAATGTAGAACGTTCTGTCTGTATATCTGCTGCTAAGTTAGGATCTGCAATTGTTGTATCTGTAGCTAGACATCTCTGAACCTTCTTGCACTTTATCAATGCCAGTGACACCATGTGTGCGGCTCATGAATGCATGTTTACACTATTCTACAATAAATATTTTTTAAATATTACATACATTCAGAATATTATTAGAAAGAATAATGTACATGTACACAACATGCATGCAAGTGCTCCCCTAGCTAGATGTTATTAAAGCCACAAAATTGACCTTTCTAAAGAGGCTGTAACTTTGGTAGTGACAGACCATTATATCTACTGTCTAACAAATCAATATTTATATTCCTGCTGAGAGCAATTGAATAAATCTTATATTATTGCTCACCAAACTATTTCAGTTTTGTCACTTTATAAAGTGTGAAAGTGCTGTATACTTCACTATATTAATATAAAACCATAATCAGATATTCATTTAAAGCATCTTACCTGTACTAATGTTATTCTTGTTCTAATATAACAATAATAATTCTAAGAAAATTTGTAGTTCATGTGGTCTTGAATCTTGATTTCTTACATTAATGCACTATCAATGGACTTGGTCCACTATTACTCTCTATACCTGGTGATTTATTGTTAGAGTAAAAATGTGCTGCCCTCTGTTGAATAAGAAATAAATGTGTTATGGACTTGGTCCATTTTTGCTCTAAAAATATAGCAGTTTTACATACATAAGGGTCATTTGAAAAAAATTGGACTTGGTCCACTTTTACTCTCATAGGCTCATTTGTTAGACATTTGTGTCAGTTAAACAACTCATAAATCACTGCAGAGTGTTTGATTAAAAGTTTTAAAAATAATATGACAAAAATTTAAATACATTAAACTGTAACAGAACCCTTAAAACCAACTAAAATTTAATTAAATACCAAGTGAAATCTTAAAAAATGACATTTAGATTAGTACTTTTTGAACTAGTGTTTTCATAATAATGTGCACTAACAACATACCTAATATTGCAAAATGTACACATACTCACAATTTAATAATATTAAAAAAAACTATGCAAAAGTTGCTATTAATCACAACAACAAAAAGGGCATCAAATTGAGTGTCTTTTTATAATTAAAACCTAATAATAAATCAAAATATATAATTAACCTAAAATGCCATCTAAGTAAATTATAAAATAATTTGTTATGACCTACTGTCATAAACATTGGGTATTAATCTTCTTAATGGTAGCATCACAAAAAAATTTTTTAGTCAGTTAATAACTTTATTCAAGACAGACCACTCTGCAACTGGCAACATATAATCCAGTACAACTTACTTCATACAGGGGAAGGAAAGGCAAGGCAATGACATGTCATTAATAAATATTAGCTAAGGAGCTGGGGTGAAAACAACTTACCTAGGAGAAGGAAAAACTCTGCTATAAAACTCTTCAACTTAATTGTGGGTAAAGGTAAATAAAGCTCAAAGTCATAACGGTGATCTTTCTAGTATCACAATAAAATATTTATTAATGATTAGCAAAACAAGTTAATGCCAGAATAGGCATCCAGTTATAAAAAATTGCCACAACTTTTCTGTGTTATTTAATTGAAAAATAACATTATGGAAACCTTTCTAAACCTCACAAGCATGGGAACAAACAAAAAAATCCTTATCTACAATGCAGGTTAAAAGAAGAAAGGTCATTAAATTAAATATAGGAATGAAAATTTTTACAAATGTGTTTTAAGTCTCTTTTAGAGATAAAAGTAAAACTAAGTTTAAACTAAGCTTTTTCATAAAGATATATTAAACAGTTTTTTTTATAAAGATATATTAAACAGTTCCTTTAACAGCTTATAACACTTTTTCTTTAATGAAATGCATCAATTTATAAGCTAGTTAATTTAGTCCTTTTTCAGTAATGTAATCATCAAGTAAATATAAAGTCATATAGGAACTTTTAGACTTTAAAAATACTTATTAACAAAAAGTTATTATTTTGAACATCCTAATGTACACAACTACGCTTTTTTAAAAGAGCATTTAAATTAAGTTCACAACTTAAAACTTAAGAAAACTAATTTTAAGTATATAATTACAATATGCAACTGATAATTAAATAGTTTAAACAATATTTTTTAAATATTAAAAAAGAAAATCTTTTAAATTTTTTTTAATTATATTATTAGTTTTAAAATTTATTATTATTATGAGAAATTAGTAATTAAGCTTATATTTTAAAAAATCAATAATCATATTAGATCATACTGTAGTCAGCTGAAGTATGCAAAAGATTCACAAGATACCTCTTCTGTAACTCTAGTCCTTTTAATATATTCAGGATCCTAAAACAAACACCATTTGATTAAAAAAAAAATAAAAAATTTATTTTTGTTGCAAAAACCTTTTATAGAGACACCATTAATTAGCAGTTTTTTATTTACATTAATTTTAGAAGCATGATGGAAGGTTTATTTTTTATAACAGTAAAGGTTTATTTTTAAGGCTGCAGCATCAAGAACAATCCTAGGAAACAAGGTAAAATTTAAACTAAATTTTGTTAACAACCAGATTTATTTTCTACATGCTTAATTTAGTTTTCAGTTACTTCAAGGTGTAAAAAAAGGTGATTTCAGATCAGATTAATCAAGATTGTAAATTTTTGCAATAGAAAATATTGAAATAAGACTTAACTAAATTTTAAAACTTCTTAAAAATGCTATTTGTATTTTTGGAATTTTTTGCTGGGTTGTGTTACAATTAAGAAAATCTTTTTATTTTTGACTTATTTTATCAAGTCAAACTATTTTAATATTTAACTCTTTTTTTATAAATAACACTAAATAACATTGTCTTTTATTCACAATAGAGTGCAAAATTATATTTAATATTAAGATATTATTATTGAATGCTATGATAAAAACAAAGTTTGTAATTTTTAACAAACTGAATATTTGTAGCCCAAAAATATTTCCAAAGATAGTGTAATGTACACTCACTTATTTTACATCTTTGATTACATTAGAAATACATATATGAGTATTTGACTTAATGAAAATTTTTTTCTATGAAATTTCCAAAACATCCCGGAAAATTATTTTATTAAAAATTGATCATATTAACTGACAACATAAACCTTTGTAAACTTTTAAAACAGAATTTAGATTATTTAATTTTTTACAAAAAGGAATTTCTAATATTCGAAAAAGTTAATTTGAAAGAATTAAAAAGCAAAAAAAAAGAAAAAATAATTGTTACAAAAATTAATCTCTTGAAAATTTTAATTATAGAAAACATATTTGTTTAAATGCAAAAGTTGTAGTAATTATAATTTTATGTAAAAACATATAAACTTTTTTAAAAATTAAAAACAAAAAACATCTGGAACTTTCCAGAAAATTAAATAAGTTTTATGTGAATATCCGGAATTCCCGGAAAAAACTCATCTATGGAAATATCACATTAAAACAGTAAAATCATTTAGACCAACTTTTTTTTAATACAAATACTGTCTAAGTCTTATGGTGAATAAAATCATATGTAAAATATCACAGAAATCAAAACAATAAAAATAAAAACATTAAATTCAAACCAAAAACAAATTATACCTCACTTATCTCATCTGTCTCTAACAAAGGAGCTGATGGTCTTCCCTAATATGTACAAAATTATATTTTACTACTATAAAAAAAAAAAAAAAAACAATTTAAAAATAACATTCTTAAAATTTTTTTAAATACTACCCATCCTTAAAAAATAATGTCAATAAAAGTATTTTCATAATTTTCAAAGTAGTACAAGGAGAAGTAGTGAGCCAATCATTAAAGTGGGAAAATGTTATAAAAGAAATAAGATATAAAATACTTTATTTAAAATTTTAATTTGGCAACTATTTATAATATTTTCAGTAAGATGAAATTACTTTATAATAACAGATATAATAATTAATTAAAAGTGATAATAAAATACTTTTTTTTCAACTACATTTTTTAATAACTATTTTTAACAAAACCAATGCCATTTTAACCATACTTTTTGTGCAATAAAACCCTTAGAATATTAGTAACAAGTTTGCAACTTAGTATATCACAAATACTTTTAAATATATAGTTTCAAATTTTTTATTTTTTTACATAACAAGGTGATTATTAAGTAAAAATTTAATTAGCTTGGAAATTAAAGTGCATAAAAAATAACTACAAAAATTTTAATCAACCAAGTCATTAAGAAAAATTAATAAAAGAATTTTAAAAAGCTTAACTGGAATTTATAAAAAAACCTTTTAATAAAAAAGCTTAATTTTAATAAAATATTTAACATTGTTTTTTGTTGTGAAGTAGAAAACAATTTAAGCAAGGAAAATACTATCAGCAACAAATTACAAAAATTGACTGTATGGTAGTTTAAAATATCTTTTATTAAAGATTCTAACTTTAAATATCTTCAACAAATATCTTTAGGTCAACTCAAAAATTGGCATTGTTATTTTTAAGAAATATCAAAATTATAAAATAAAATTTATTTCTTTACTAACTACAAGAAAACCTGATATATTCAAATATAACTCAAATGTATAAATTAAAAAGTACAGCTTACATGTTTAATTTACAATTTTTCTTTAAACTATTTTTTTACCAAAATAAAAACTTTTATAAAGAGTTATAATTATTTATTTATTTATTTAAGAGCTGTAACTACTTATATATTTAATAAAGAGAAAAAATAATTTATTAATTATTTTTTTTTGTATGAGCATTTTTTATAAACAAATTTAATAAGAGAAATTACAAATTTAATGAGTAAAAAATAGGTTTATTCAAAAACTTCTTAATTTTGGTTAATGGCTATGTATGCCAAAACTGTTATTTATTGATTTATTACCAAATGATCATTAAAAATCTGTTTTGGTGTAAAAAAAAGTTAAAATGTATATATAAAATCAAACTTTCTAAAGATAGAAAAACTTTCTAAAGATAGAAAAACTTCTAATTTGTAAATACTTAATTTGATTTTATAATTTAATAAACAGTATATTGGTTTAAAATAATAGTTATATATATTATAAAAATATACTATATATAATATTTATATTATATATAATATAATATAAATATATTATATATAAAAATATATTATATCTATATTATAAAAATACCCTTTTGTGAGACTTTCCTTTGTGCGGTCCCATAGAACTTCCTGTTTCATCCTAAATGTTTATAAAATTGTTTTATGAAAGAGATTGGTATAATTAATGAATTTACTTCTGCTACAAATACAAAGGTTAAAAAACTAATAAAACAACTTTTACCTACCTAAATTTATGTCCAATAACCAGCGCTTTCTATTTTTAAAAATGCCCTTAGCCGAGAATTATATTGAAGCTTATTTTTTGATGAGAATTTTTCAATAGTACTATTAGTTAACTAGCAACATACAAACATCAAGTTTACAAATATATTTTTTAAATTAAATTAAATGCCAAGCTTTTAAACAAGATTTAAATTTATAAATCTGGTTTAAAAGCTATAAATGCAGATATAAATGTCAGTCAAAACCACAAAATTGAAAAATGGAACAAGAAAACAATGAACAAAAAAAAGAAAAATGGAACAGGAAAACAATACCATATATGAAATATGATTTAATAATCAATAATATTGTCTGTGTATGTATGTATGTATGTATGCATGTATGTATGTATGTATGTATGTATGTATGTATGTATGTATGTATGTATGTATGTATGTATGTATATATATATATATATATATATATATATATATATATATATATATATATATATATATATATATATGTATATATATATATATATGTATGTGTATATATATATATATATATATATATATATATATATATATATATATATATATACACACATGTGAGTGTGTATGTATATACATATATATACACATGCATATATATTTACATATGTGCATATACACATTGTAATGAAAGGAGTTTTATTCTGTGATAATTTTTTTCAAATTGTTACATAATGATTATCAAGTCAGAAACAGTTATTTATTTAGAAATTCTGCTTGTTATAAACACGAAATTATAGCTTAAATTTCTAAAATTTCTTGCTCATTCGGTATTTTATTGGTTTTAAGGATTTGCTTGTCATGCATAACACAGACAATATTTGCTCTATAGAAAATACTATTCTGAGCAAAAGAAGAAACTTTTAAGTGTGCTACACTCAATTTAAAAATATATTTTTTTATGATGCATTTCAATGCAGTAATGCCTTTCACTGAATTGCAGCAAATAATTTTTTCCTATATAGCATGGCTCAGATTTTCATAAAAACAATCAATTTGAGTTATGTGTTTCAAAAGCATTTTATAATTTTCAAATTTGTTTTGTAACATCTAACCATAATATCGTATCTTAAAATTCTACTTGAATAATTTGACAACTTTAAAGTATAGATTTGAAGAACAAGTTTTTGATTTACGCTTATAAATTTTTGAATAACTTTTTAAAGTGGTAACTCTTTTAAAATAAAAATGAAAAACCTTATAGGCTTGAGTAACATTACTCCTTAATTTGTAAAAAGGGATTTTATATACAAATTTTAATTTTTGTAATATTTGTTAATTGAGCAGTAACAATTGTATAGCATAATTAAATATAAAAGCATAACATAACTAATGCTTGCAACAAGAATTATTGTTAATATCTTTTTTCAAAATAAAAAGTAAACTTTGTACATGTTAAATAAACTTAATAAACAGAAGAAATTCAACAACAACTATTTATAAATGTAAAGAAAAAAAAATTATTCCAGAACTCATATTAAGAGTGTTATTGAGGAAACATAATCTAAGTGTTTAGTTTTTAAAACCTTATAAAAATATATCTATGTTAAAATATCTATCAATATAAAAGTTAAATGTTCTTTTGTCACATAAGTAAATGCTAAATTAGTGCTATTTTATAAGGGATTTTATTTATTTAGCAATAATAATAAATGTTTATAAATAACTCATAAATAGAAACTTAAAATAAAAATAAACAAATGAAGAACTGTTTAACAATAAATACAAACAAGCTTATTTTACTTCAGAACTCATTGACTTAACACAATCTAACATTAAAAACTAAAATCACTGCAACTAAAATTTAGGAAAATATTTTTTCTGTTGTTTCCCTACCAATATATCATCATCTGTCATATCGTAATCTGATGGCGATAATACACTACCAGACTCTTCAAATGTGTAGCTATAAAATACAATAGCATTTTTTTAATTATATATATATAAATACTTTAGAGCAACTTTAAAAAATGAATAAAATGCAATGCTATGCAATTAAAACCTATATACAGTAAAATTTACAAGTACAATTATTTATTTTAAGTTTTAAACGCTGGCAATCCTTTAAATCTAGGTTCATTTACTGCACTTATAAACCACAATAATGACTTAAAACTTTGAAAGGTTTGATCAATAGTTTAAACCTCATTATCATGCATTATACAGACAGACTTAATACATGAAACGCTGACTCTAAAATTTATGTCTAAAATTAAAATTAAATATTTGCTTTTTTTGAAAACACCTTTACATCTTTTTTAATAGAGTGATGCAATGTTATTGTTGTGTTTTTTCACTGCAATGATTATAGTTTAAAGGTTATACAGGGATAAGTAATACTAACTGCTCATTTTTCTTGGTTGCCATGCATTTAAAAATATTCAAAAAAAAAAAAAAAAATTATTCAGAGTAACACAGTATGCTTGTACATTACAAGTAATATAGGTAAGAATAGTAATGTAAATTATTTATAGAAGGAATAATAGATGGGTTGTATTTTTTTTAGAATATACTATGTAAACTAATTTTTTTAGTATCAACATGAATACTTAAACTTGTCTATTCTCTTTTTTTAAGATATATCGAGTTTCATCCTAAAACTTTTTTTTTTAACGATACTTGCTTACTCCCAGTGAGACTAATTTAAATTCTGGTATTCCTTCTTCTGATCCTAGTGTTGATGGATACTATCCTTTGATTCGCAAAACTACAACAGTTATATGCTTGAATTGGGGGTATACATACCCATCAATTTACCTATTTATTGTGAAATCAGGTTAGAACCTTTCAACCATTCTTTTATGTGCTTTTGCTTAGCATATTTTCACTCTTTCTCTTTATTATTCTCCTTCTTCTAAAGACTGCACTCTTTTAGATGTAATTGTGATCAAATTTGACCATGCTCTCTCTTTACTCCTCTGTCAATATTGTTGTTATTGGTGACTATAATGCATTTCTAACATCACATTGAATGGCTTGGCTTTGGCGCCACTGACCCTGCTGACAATAAAACCTAAAACTTCTGCATTTCTCAATGTTTTACCCAGATAGTTAACATTCTGACTCATTTTCCTGACAACCCTAATCATTTACCTTCCCTCCTTGATTTATGTCTGGTTTCTGATCCTAGTTTGTGTTCAGTTTCTCCTTTTTCTCTTTTAGATGGTTCTGACCATGCAATGATCTTTTTAAAACCTTCATCTCGTACTTCCTTTTTGGACTACCTTAAAGCTGACTGGGATTTTTTTAGTGACAGTCCTTGGGTCGATGTCTTTTCCCTCTCAAAATGGGCCTCCTACATAACCTCCTGGATTCATGCAGGAATGGAAGCTTATACTTCTTCTTGTCGGTTACAAGTTATGTAAGGCATTTAAATCACTTCAGCTTTCTTAGCCAAAGTCGTATCACAATTAAACACTTCTATGGAAAATAACATGTTCTAATTTTCAAAAAAAATTTTTAGAGATTATCAAATCGTTTCTTTTTAACCACTTTATCGAAGTTATCCTCAAAGACCAACACTCTTCTTTATTTTCAGTAACTTCTGGGTTACCTCAAGGTTCTATTCTGGGTCCCTTTTCGCTTAAAATTGTCTAATCAAGGTTTGACTAAATTTCAGTATGGGAAATAAAGAAATCAAAATAACTTAATTAAAATTTTTAATTTAAAATGCGCTAAAAAAACTAAACTAACTTAAAAAGTAAAATTGAGAAAATTAAAAACAAAAAAACTATAAACTGAAAAAAGAAATGAACTTAACGAATAATAAAATAAATAAAAACCAGAGATAATAAAAGCATAAAATTAACATATTTTTTAATTTAGAAGCACCTCAATAGTTCAAACTTAATTTAATTTAAAAGCATTGCAATTAATAAAAGCTAATAATTTTTTCGATATTGCCATGTTGATATAGCACTTAGATTGATTAAATGCATCATATAAATTAGGGCACAACTAATATATTGGCATTGGATGAGGGTTAAAATCCTGCTAACAATTTTTTTTTTTTTTTTAATGTTTTAATTGTTTTGTAGATATTTAAAAAATATTTAAGTATTAAATTTTTAAATAATTAAGTTTCGAATTAATTAATCTTACTTAACTAATTAACTTTGACACTTCAAATTTTTCTAAATTCTTTGTAGTGAAATAATTTTAAATTAAAATAAAAAACATTAACTTTATGCTTTTATTTTTTTAGGTTTATTTTTTATTCATTTTAACATTCCTTAAGATTTTTATTTTTTTAGCTTATTTTTTATTTTAGATTTTACTTCTCTTTCCAGTTTTCTAGTCTTTTTAGTTTTATTTCTAATTTTACTTTAAGTTTTCATTTGTTTATTCAGCAAATTTTTTAACGCGCTAATTTAAAAAATGCAAGGATAAATGCGTGATACACTGACTACTTTATTAAAGCAAATACATTCAGAGCAGCGTGGTAAGAATAATCTGCATTATATTTTTTAATGTTGTTGTTAGATTTTCAAATAAAAGTTTTATCTACTTAATAGTCTATTTAATTAAAAAAAGTTATAAATAAATAAAAGACTCGTTTTTTATCATGGTTATAATTTTAGGCCTGACTTTTATTGCCAAAAGTTGCTAAAATTCTAAGTATCGCTTGAATAACATATATTATTTACCTATAATTAGTTACTTATTTAAATTATTTTAAAATTATCAAAGTCAAAAAAAAATTGCCTTTAAAAATTTATTTTTTTGCAATATAAAGTATTAAAATATGAGCTTCAAAATTATCATTTATTTAAAAAAAAAAATACAATTTTACCTCTGGTTCATAAGTCCCACCTCCCCATGTCTATTATTGTTTGCAGAGCTATAATTATTCAAAGATTGAGCAAGTGCTTGTCTATCAACAGAACTCAATTGATGTGTATTATCTTTATCCAGCAGCAATTCTTTAATTAACTGAAGTTGACGAGCCTGCAGATAGATAATAAAGAATATATTAATAAATTTTATTGACCCAAATACTTTCAACATTACATATTTAATTAATGTGCATGTTTATAATAGCTTTGTTTTATTTAAATAATTAGATATTCAAAAACACATGAGCAAAATTTTATTTGCAAATTATTTGCAAATAATATATATATATATATATATATATATATATATATATATATATATATATATATATATATATATAAACATATATATATAATATATATATAATATATATACATATATATAATATATATATATATATATATAATATATATATACATATAATAAATATATATATATATATACATATATATATATATATATATATAATATGTATATAATATATATACATATAATATATATATATATATATATATATATATATATATATATATAATAAATATATATATAATAAATATATATGTGTGTATATATATATATATATATATATACATATATATATATATATTTTATTTTTTTTTTAATTTTAATTCACCTCCTCAAGGCCGAGAAGGCCACTACAGACGAGAAGGCTACTTATTTGTGGTTATAACCCTCTCACAACTCTATAACTCCGAAACACGAACCTTGACAAGCAAGGCTGCTGCGCGGAGAAACGAGTTGCATACATATATATATATATATAATAAATATATACATATATATATATATATATATATATATATATATATATATATATATATATATATATATATATATATATATATATATATATATATATATATATATAATAAATATATATATGTGTGTATATATATATATATATATATATATATATATATATATATATATATATATATATATATATATATATATATATATATATATATATATATATATATATATATATATATATATATAAACTAGGTCAGCTTAAAGTCGAAAAACTGTCTCTATAACCTTCGTCAAGTCGACACTTTTCATAAGTCGACAGATTTCCTGTCGACTTTACGTTTGAATGAATTTTAGTAATGATTAGTTCAATGGAAATTAAAAAAAAAAGATACCATTGTAATGTCTAAATTATACTCAAGAGATTTCTATGAAAAACATTAACAAAAAAAAAAAAACGCGGCAAACTATAAACAATAACTTGTTTTAAAAGCGCGTATGTTTACTTGTGTTATATATACAATCTATAGGTCGATAGTTAAGAGATTGCATTTTTTGTTTGAAATATAAAGATATATTTATTATAATTTATATATATATATATATATATATATATATATATATATATATATATATATATATATATATATATATATATACCGTAAAAAATTATCACTTTTAAAAATTAAAAAAATCATTAAATTCTCAATTTAGGAGCGGCTCCGATTTTAATTTTTGTGTAACATTAATCCACTAAATCCACCTGATAATTCTGTGAAGAAAAAATCCAGGTACCAACACCTTTAACCTAAACCCCCTATCTGGGAGTATCAAGTATTTATTAAATAGTTCAAAGGGAATTGAAAAGAGTACTGAAGAACACTTTTGCAAGAGTATGACAGGAATATTGCCTAAATCACAAGAGCTTAATTGAGAAATGACCTTAGCAATCGAAACTAGCATGGTTTAGATGTCTAACAATTGGTTAACCTATCTAACTAGGATGGCAGGAAGAGTAAGGCCATTTGATTCAAGACCCGAGTTAGAAAAGTTATTAGCAAATTGTTCAGCCTTATACTTGGGAGAGGTGATAAGATAAGACCCATAAATTGGAGATGGAATGTTTAACTTGCCTTTGTTAATGATATTGTTGAAGTTATAACTTGAATATTGTTGATATTATAACTTCTGAGATAAGATACAAGATTTAGTAAACTGGGAATAATGGAGCCTAGCATCAGAAAACACCTTTTTACATTGATTTCTTGCAATAATAAAAAAGTGTTCTCAAGAGTGTTGCTATTTTAAAAAAATGATTATGATTAGAAATAGCAGTTGCAAAAAAAGATGAAGACCAGGCTTGACTTGGAACAACTAAAAAAAAAAGACACCATACCTATCTGGATTCAGGAGGTTACATAGAAAGCGCATTTATCAGCGGAGAGAGAAATAACATCAGCCCAAGGATCGTTACGAAGAAAATCAGGAAAAAATGCCAATCAGCTTTAGGGTAATAGTAAGTAGTGTGGTGATAGAGTGAGTCTAAAAAAGTACAGGATGAAAGATTTAAAAAGATGCATGGTTGGAACCACCTAGAGGAGAACAAGGAGAGACTGAACACAGGCTAGGGTCCGAGACAAGGCACAAATCAAGAAGTGAAGGTAAGTGATTAAGGTTATCTAGAAAAAATGAGTCACAAAGTTAACTATTTAAAAAAAAAGATTGAGAAATACAGAAGCTTTGATTTTTAGTGCCAACAGAATCAGTGGCGTTAGAACCAAGTCATTCAGTGTAATGAGCATTTAAGTTACCAACAACAACAATATTGGCAGAGGGGTAAAGAGAAAGGGCATAGTCAATTTGATCAGAAATTGCATCTAAAAAAATTTAGACTTAAGAAAAAGGAAAACAATATGTAACAAAGAAAAAAGTGAAGTGAAGAGGTATTAAGTGAGTGAAGAGGTATTAAGCAGAAGAACATAAAAGTAAGAACATAAAAAAATTGGCAGATAATGTAAACCTGATTTTTTTTTTTTTTATTTGCATTCACTCCCAACAAGGCTGCAAGCAACCACTATTAAGTTGGGAGTTACTAGAAAAAAAAAAGAACAGAGTTATAGAGCAAGGAAACGGTTGACAGAAGATTTGAAAAGTTGAAGGTTGTATGAGTCAGGAAAACATGAAGATGGGAGAGAGTTCCAAAGGATTGAAGTGCGGGGAAAAAAACTAGATGAATAAAAGTTTTTAGAGCATGCAGGGACAGATACAGTAAACGAATGAGACTTAGCTGAATAACGAGTAAAACGAGAATGAATTTTAGTTGATGGAACTAGAGATGATAACTCCTTTGAGCAGTGACCATGATAGTATCTGTAGAAAAGAGAAAGAGATGCAACTTTACGACGATGGGAAAGAGGTTCAAGCTTAGCAGATAGTCCAGGTCCAACAACATTTACAATGCGTTTTTGGACCTTGTCAAGAAGAGAAAGTGAATCGTTAGAAGAACCAGCCCAAATATGACAACAGTATTCCATACAGGGACGAATAAGAGATTTGTAGAGGTAGAGAATGGAATCAGAAGTAAGGAAATGGCAAGCACGATAAAGAGAAGCAACCTTAGCGGAAGCTAATTTAGCAATCGATTGTATATATGGTTTCCATGAAAGGTCAGTAGTAAGCGATAATCCAAGAAGACGTAAAGAGGAGGACTCAGTAAGAGGATTGCCATTCATTAATATAGGAATGTTGACCATATTACGGTAGTTGTTTGCAGTAAGCAATTGGGTTTTTTTAGAGTTGAAATTCACAAGCCACTGTGAACCCCAATCTATTACTGAAGTGAGATCAGATTCAAGATCAGCTGCTTGTTCTAGGCGATCGAAAAGAGAAGACTTTTTGTCAAGACAGGAGTATAATGTTGAGTCATTAGCAAAAAGAGCTACTTTAGATGAAAGGTTGTCAGGAAGATCGTTTATGTAGATAAGAAACAAAACAGGGCCCAGGATGGAACCTTGGGGAACCCCAGAAGTTACTGGAAATAAAGAAGAGTGTTGGCCTTCAAGGATGACTTTAATAAACCGGTTAGAAAGAAATGATTTGATAATCTCAAAAACTTTCCCAGAAACACCATATAAAGCAAGCTTATGGAGAAGACCAGCAAGCCAAACTTTGTCGAAAGTTTTAGATATGTCGAGAGCAATAGCCCTAGCCTCACCGCCTCCATCTAATGCACGATAAAAACTTTTAGTTACAGCAGTTAGCAAGTCAGCTGTAGAGCAAGAGGATCGAAAACCGTATTGATTGTCTGACAGTAGTTTATTTGACTCAAGATGAGATGCGAGGAATTTGTTGATCAAAGACTCAAAGACCTTGCTAATAACAGAAAGAAGACTGATAGGACGATAATTAGAGGGGTTAGAATTTTCTCCAGAGTTTTTGAATATTGGAAACACAGATGCCATTTTCCAACAAGCAGGAAAACAAGACTCAGTCAAACACTTGTTAAATAATTTAGAGAGAATTGAAGAAATTTCTGGAGAATAATTCTGCAAGACTGTGACAGGAATGTTGTCTGGACCAAAAGCTGTAGACGAGTTTAATTGAGATATGACTTTAGCAACAGAAGCCCGAGTGATTTGAATGTCTAACAATGGGTCAACCTGTTTGACTGGAATGGAAGGAAGAGAATGTCCATAAGATTCAAGAGTGGAATTAGAAGAAAAGTTCTTTGCAAATAGTTCTGCCTTATCCTTGGGAGAGGTAATAAGATCAGTCCCATGAATGAGAGATGGAATGTTAGATCTACCCTTGTTAATAATGCTGTTGAAGATTTTCCGAAAGTCTTTAGAGCCTAACTTCTGTGATAAGATGTGAGATTTAGTGAACTGAGAATAAGGGAGTTTAGCATCAGAAAGCACCTTTTTACATTAATTTCTTGCAATAATAAATAGCCGTTTGTTCTCAAGAGAGTTGTTCTTTTGAAAAAGATGAAAAAATGATTACGATTGGATATAGCAGCCGCACAAGAAGGAGAAAACCATGGAGTAGAATGAGGCTTGACTTGAAACCGACGAGAAGGAATAAAAGCTTCCATTCCAGCCTGAATCCAGGAGGTTACGTAGGAGGCGCATTTGTCAGCTGAGAGAGAAAAAACATCAGCCCAAGGACCATCACAAAGAAAATCACGAAAGGAATCCCAGTCAGCTTTAGGGTAGTAGTAGGTGGTGCGATGATAAGGTGAGCCCAAAAAAGAAGTACGAGAAGAAAGATTTATAGAGATCATTGCATGGTCAGAACCACCTAAGGGAGAAAAGGGAGAAACTGAACATAAGCTAGGGTCA